TGGCTGGCTGGCTGGGTTGGCTTGGCGCACAGAGAGCCCACCGGGCCACCCACCGCGACCATTCACCGGAACCGAGCCCCATCCAATCCCAGTGACTCTCATTCATCCGTGTACGAAGTCCGCGACCTCGACAGTGAGCGCGAGAGGGGTGGGGCAGAGGGAAGGGGTATGGGGAAGAAAACAAAATACAGGGAAGAAACCTGTGATTCGCGATTTTTTCACAAGATGCGTTGTTGTGGAATAATTGACGAAGGTTGTCTTAACTTAGGAGAGCATTTCAACTTGCATCCATCTATATACGTAAATATATATATATATATTTTTTTTTTCGAATGTAAATCTCAATTAACTCAAAGTTTAAATTTGGAAATCGACTCGACGCTTCGGTCTTTGCCGGCCCGACATTCAGGGGAGTCGGAGGAGAGGAGGGAAACGCCGGCAGGATTTCGTTAGAGGAAACACGAGGAATTGAACGTCGCCGCGAAGAACCGCCCATCAATCTCACGGAAAGCGGGCGGGCACGCTCTCATCGCACGCAGGAATTTCTAAGCATTTCCTCGAAGATTCGAACCGTCGCGTAGCCAGCCGGGGCGTGTCGCAGGAACAAGGACCCCTAACGAGGCTGTGGCCACGTGGTTCTTACGTTTTCACACGCCATAAAGCTGTCCGCACTTGCGCGCCGGCCGGAGATGAATAGTTTTCAACTTCTGATGAGGACCACCGATCGATCTAGAATAAATAATTTGAATAATAACAGTGCGGAGGGTATTTTTGACTCGCGGAGCGAGACGCTTACGTCACCTAAGAAGATTCTTCGTTCTCCGATTAGGAGCTTTTGTCGCTGTTGGCTAGTTCTAGTAAATCTAATTCTGCAAGCCAAGTAAATTTACATTCCGCCACAGCTTAGATGGTCTGTTATTGTAATTTTACTAATGAATTTTACTACATGAATTGGAATGTAGGTGGAATCGTAAATAAATTGAAAGCTAATTATGAATGTTTATCGGTATCAATAATATCATCTTACAATAGTGGAAAATTTTAGTTTTTTTATATGTTTTCGGTGTTGAAGTATTTTGAGCGACGAAATTGTATTACAAGATTTTTTTTAGCAAATCTCTAAAAGCCAATTATTGGAGCAGATACAATTGGTATCGGTACAAATTTTGAGAATATTGATTTAAACTGATTAGCTTTTAAGCGTAAGACCGGGGCGAGATGAGAACGAAAAATCCCCCGTAATAAATGGAGGGAACCAGCGTGCACCTGCTTCCCTCTCTCCGGGCGACAGAGGGCGGAACTCGAGCGTGGCTCTCTCTCTCTCTCTCTTTCTCTCTCTCTCTCTCTCTCGTTTTCCTCTTCCTGGAGAACCGTCGAACCTCGGATTGAATATAAACGTCAGTTCACGATCGGATATATCGATCGCTTCCCAGCGCTATCGAATAGTGGAATCGTTATATTCCCGGCTTAATGGAGCTCTTTTCTCTTCCACAATTGGAAGACGCGATCGTTAAGGCTCCGCGATATCGCATTAACGTCGACGGCTGACCCCTCGGTTTGACCCTGGAGAACTCCCCCGAGGAGAGAAAGAGAAAGAGAGAGAGAAAGGAGATGAGGACCCCCGGGATTTCCGTCGCGCCGCCGCGATCGAAAGAGAGCTGAAAGATCGTCGGACGTCGTCGCTGTCGTCCTGGAACGGATGCAAGGTTCCCCGCGACGAAACCCACCCCCGGGATGCACTCGCGGGAAGTTCGCGGAAACAATAGAGAGAAGAGGAATGGTGAATGAGGCGCGCCGACAGAGCTGAAAGACGGACGCGGCCATTCAAGGGTGCCCCGGAGCGAGCGGGACCGATGCGCGGAGAGATGTGAGCGCGCGACCGCAATCACGGTAGCCGGAAGGGTGCAGATAGACGGGATGGGAGGGGCGGGAGGGAGGGAGAGGGGGCAGGGTGAGGGGGCGCGAGAGAGCCGCTCGCTCCCGAGAGTTGGACGAGACAGAGACGGAGAAATAATTACAGAGACGCCTCGTCGATAAATCAAGCCCGGTGCCCTCTCCCCGTCTCTCTCTTTCTTTCTTCCTCTCCTCCTCTCTCTCTCCTCCACGCGAGTTGTACCCTGCCTGCTAGTCCCCTTCTGACCGTCCCCTCCCGTCGGCAGTGCTGCCCTTTTTCACTATCTCTCTCCGTCTCTCTCTTTCTCTCTCTCATTTTGTCTCTCTTCCTCCACCTCTTTCCTCTTCTCCGCTTTCCACCGTTAAGCCACGTTTCTTGCTTCGTAGAGCAGAGAGTAGTGTCTTTATTACGCTCAGTGTACCCGACCGCATTCTACAGGCCGACTCACAAACGCGTAAGCTCGCTGTCATCGTCGCGGCAATTACGTCATGCGAGTTTCTTAGCGGGCGAAAAAAATGATCGGATCATTTAATGGTGTCTATATAGAGAAATGCCAATTGCGTTATTTGCTGTGTGCATAATCTCTCCTGCTTGTATCGAATAAAGCTGAAAATGGAATTACACAATTTTTGAAACGGATATCTATTTGACTTCAACATTTATTGACTTGATTAAAATTTATTTAATTCTTTCAAAGAAGTTTTACAATTCCTCTCTTTCTCTCTCTGAAAAGCTTCTAATTCCAAGACCATAGGGTTTGATAGAAAAATGATACCTTCTGCATCGAGTTATTATTTAACAATTTTTGTAAGAAAAATTAAACCGGAAATCCATTTCTTTTTAGTATATTCATTACTTTTTTTTTTATTGGGAAGAAGACAGTATATTCAATCCCAGATACAGAAGAAATGAAAGAAAATTTTAATATCGATATTTATTAATTTTCTTATATGCTTTTCTCTTAAAAATTTTTTGCTACTGCTGTCTTTTGTAACATAATTCTAAAATAAAAAAATTTTTATTACATATGTTTTATATGTGAACATAATTTTATAATCTTTGAAAAGTTAAGTTTATATAAAATTACATTTTATTATTCGTATACATATACATGAATGTAATTAACTTTTATATTTCTTGTTTGATACAAGTTTTTTTAAGCAATCTATTCGGGTTCAGTTAAATCGATAAATTAAATTGAACCTGAATTTTAAGATCATTAATTTAATACACTCGCATTACATTTAATTTGCTTTCGGTATAGATAAAAATAAAATACTGAAACATGCACCAACAAGAGTATATTGCATACCGGCCATATAAAGTCGCGGTGTCGTGCGCGTCCTTGCGGACACGCGCTCTCCTTTTTTTTTAGCAAGTTAAGTAATTAATCTCTAAATTCCATCCGTCGGCTCATTCCTTCTTCGCAGATTGTACGAAATAATTCGTCAGCGTTTCTTTATTCGCATTCGTCGTCCTTTTCCGCCGCGGCCGTTTGAGAACCACTTTCGCGCGGCGAGCAATACGGGTGGTCCACGGCGACCGCGTCGTGGCGGAACGAGCAAATACGCCGTCGGCATTTTTGACGGTGAAATCTGACTAGGTGGGATACCAGGGTACCCCGCGCGCGCGCACAACGGCCATCATCCTCGTGTGCCCCTCGTCCATTACTACTGCTCGCCGTATATACGGTGTATGCTCCTTTAAATCGCAGCGCGCACCGTCGCGTCGTCCTCCAAGCAAAGAGACGGCCTTTGGGCCTCGCGTCTCTCGCGCTTCCTCAAATGGCTTATAAAAAGCGAAGTGGATCCTCGCGCGAGGATGCTCGTACGTGCGTGCGATGCTCACTTTCGAGGCAAAATAATTCGCCTCTCCCCCTTCCCTGTTTTTCTTTTTTTTTTCTTAAGATCGCTTTGAAATCTTCCTTTATGGAGGACGATGGAGAGCGACCGCGATACCGCGACGTCGAACGAAAACACTTGGATGTTTCCCTCGGTCGAGAGAAGCCGCGACGCACCGTTCCCTCTCCCGCTCCGGAAACCTTCTCTCAAAGCCTCCGGATTATATCTTCGGAAACAGAAAATTTTGACGGGCCATCTGCGCCGAAAGGAAATTATTGAACTGACTTTTAAGAGCGTTAATTTAATATGCTCACATATTATATTTAATTCCTTTGATAGACAATAAAATACGTATCAAAAATGGTATTGTATATCAGTCGTAAAGTCATGATAAATTCGCAATAAATCGTAATAAAGATTGCTTTTTTTGTTTGTAAATTAAGCAATTAATCTTTAAATTTCATCGTCGATTCTTTTCGCACATATTTTTTTTTCACTTAATATCCACTATTGTACGTTTCTGTTGCTTTTGTGTTAGAATATTCGAGTAGAAACCATCTGTAGAATCGGGCTTGTTGTTAGAAGGAAAGCAACGGGCGCCGGTATAACGCTAGGAGGGACGATCTCTGACAGCCAGATTGCGAATCGTTCTCTCCTGCCTGCCGCATTTCGGTCCGCTATTTTCACGTCCGTTTCTGGGAATGTTTTATTGGCAGACTGCCAGGAATTTTTGTCAGTACAAAGACGCGCAGAAACGTGTATGTTACGACACTGTCTCGGCCAATGTTTCTCTTCGGGGAATTGCGCCGATCGCAAACTTCGTCCCCGCCGGAAGGCTTACAAAGTCACCCTGCATCTGAGGGAGCACGTGAAACTCGCGACACCGTTTCTAAGTTAATTTTCTCGCAAAAGTGCAACGCTTGCGCGAGTATCATTTTTTAAATAAACTTCGTATCGTTTAATAAGAAACTCGACGTAGAAATTATCGTATGCACCAAAAATAGTAATCTAAGAAAACTAGTTGTTGAATAATATAATTATGTTCATCGAATACTTAATTGAAAGAGGACAGTAATAATGCGGGCGCAAAAAGCAATATTAATATCACAAATTAAATAGTTTCCTTCAATTTGTATTGAACTGAATTTTTTAAGATACCCCCACGGAATTATACTTCGTATAATAAAGGCATTTTCGGTATCGCGCGTAAATATTCTCGAAGTAGATGAACTATCGAATAATCGCTCGCCGACTTCTGTTTGCAGAAGGTGGAAGGTTACAAAAGGAGCTCACCTACGCGTCGGAGGTGCTCGGCGAGGCATCCGCTTCGACGCATCAGCTCATCATCCAGACGCCGAGGCATTCCGGGGCGAATATCCTGCACCCGGCCGCGCTCAGGGAACACTTGGCGGTGCTGGAGGCTGCGATGAATGTGGAGGTGCACCTGTTCGATATGTAAGTCCTTACCTCCGCTCGCTGCGATGCGCTTTCTCATTTGTATACGGAAAGGGAATGTCCGGCCTTTAATTTGAAAGGCCGAATTAATTAGGGAGAGAGAGACACTAGGCTGCTCGGCGTAACGACGGCATAATTAATCCTCACGGGAAAGATTGTGGCGTTTATGCGGGGTTACCGGTGATACAAAGCGGGAGGAAAGGGGATTAATGCACGAGGAAAGTAAATTCGGAATTATGTTTCTTAATTCATATAAAACTTTTTTTTTTCGAGAAAATTGAATTTAAGGATTGGGAATTTGATAATGTTTAATCTAATGAGTTTAATTTTGCCTTTAATGACGCTGCTTTATGAATTCGTCATTTCATCACTCGATATGAGAATTTGCAGGATAAATGTATAGTATTTTATATTTTTTATATTTCGTAAATAATTTATTCAATAAAATTTCAAATATTGCTTATTTTTCTTATATAATTCGTTAAATTTTTTTAACAACTTATTTCTTCGCAAACTTTGACTGTAAAATAATTATGTTATAAATTATTTAATTTTAAAGGTGGTAGAAGATATCATTCGATTTTTTTTATGAAATAATTTTTTCGGAAGCAAAAAATCTTGCATGAAAAAAAGTTTTTTCCACATTTTTATCTTCTTTATTTTGGATCGTCGTCTATTACTCTCCACATTTTATTAAGTTTAAATATTGGAGTAATTTTAATGGTTAACTAATATCGCTGTTTCGCAAAAAAACATCGACGAAATGTCTCGCAACGTCTCGCTTAATTCACATGATCGATCTTGTCCCTACTTTAAGAATGAAATGACGCAAAGTCTCGTAGTCACGAATGCATGTGTCATTTGCAGCACGTGGAAGCTGAAGGACTTGTGTTACGCGCCGAGCATACCCAACTTCGACATGCACTACATCGACCAGGTAATGCAGCTAGTATATACATATATATATACATATATAGATGTATACGCACGTATACGCACCCGAGACGGATGCACATGTGCGCGCGCGCACGTATAGCATGAATGGCGCGCGTGAGCACGTGTTTACGCACCGTCTCCGTCTCCCGGTCCCATTAGACCCCTAGTGAAGGCATCAATGCGCGCACGTGACACGTGCACGACGTGTCCGCGTAATAAGCTATCGATAGCCGTCGTTAGCGAAATACTACGCACATCCGGCATCGAAATTTTCGAACGCGATAAAACTGCATTAAACCCATTTTACGCTATTATGGTTATTAACTCGGGAATTGTCTGTGATTTTTACACCCCAGCAGGGAGCGAGAAAATGAAGTTTCAATCACAGTAGTTCTCTTTTACTAATCGAGAATCCATATCTATTTTTTTTATTTCTCCCTACTTTTTTTTAAACTTTGAATTTTTTAAATTTATATTGTACATATATAATGATTTCAAATGCTAATAAATTGAAATAGAATAATCAATATAATATATGTATAATTTATAATTGATAATAGTGATTTTTAATTGAGGTGTAATTATCTCAGGTTTACATAATAAAAAAAACTAAGTGATTATTCCGGGCTTAAAATTATTTGTGTCATACAAATCGTACACTGAATATATGCGTTTAATTCTTTAACATTTTGCTTAAATTTCTTTTGATGCACGGTTGTTATTTCTTTGTAAGATTTATGGAATAATTGAGAGATTAATTAACATGATATGTGCATTTATCGATAAAAAATCTTGTTTTTCTCCAGAGAAATATCATGCAAATATATTTAAAATTTATGACTCCATCGATATCCGCATCGTCGAAGAGAGATCGACGTGCGTGTACCTATACATGCACGTTACATCACTTCGCGCGGGACTAACGAGTGAGCGCGTTAGAGAACGGCAACGGTGGCTGTGGTATTCCGAGGGGAAAAACGCGCGTCTCGAGATCTCATCACGAACGCCAATCCCCGCTTCCGGGACATTATAAACGTGTTTCGCGCGAGGGACTGCTTCTTTTTTATTTTCCGTCGAAACTTATGCATGGCCGTGAATCTGGCTCTCTCTCTCTCTCTCTCTCTCTCTCTCTCTCTCTCCCTCCGCTTTCTCTTTTAATATTATATAATACATTTCCGTTATCGTTTAATTTTAATTAGAAACAGAAAGAGCCAATCTTCTTTTATTTGCGCTACGAGATATTGATATCGGAATTCGGAGATTTGAGGAAATGCTTGGCAGTCTTGGTATATTTGTTGTTTAGCGCGGTACGTCAACAATAGCAAGAAATGAGCGAGCGAGCGAGAAGGGTTTTCTCCGTATAGAGAGCGGTAAACAAAATCCGATCCGACTAATATCCGACTCCGACATTAACGATCGTCATACGGTTTTTCTGGGTACTAGGCCATTACGAGGGCCCACCTCTGGGTTCCAGGAAACTCGAATAGGGCGGTCCGCGCCGCGCGCACCACGTTCTTTCGTAACCCTCGCGCGCCTTGCATCCCGGCTGCGGCGCGCGCGGGGGGGATATAAGATCATCTTAGATTACACCCTGTACAATATCTAAGCGCTGCTTTAAACGGCGCTCGGCGCTTGATCGCCGTCGCCGCGTTTTCTGAATGACACTTGAAAAGCGGTCTCTCTCGCCAAACTCATAATTTGCATTTCGTTAAGATATAGGCTCTTGCGGCACGTCACTCAAGAGTTAACATTCGTTCAGTTAACTCGACGCTTTTGATTTCCGGAGTTTTTTTTTTTATTTTTTTATCAAGTGATACGATGGGATTGGACTGAACTGCATTGAATTCGCAGTTTGTATCCGCCACTCCTAATTTGTTCGTGAATTATATTTCACGCGTGAATGCGCGCGCCTTGCTCTTGGTCGCTTTTGTATAACTGTGTGCCATTGCATAACTGAAACAAGCTAGAGCGCAAGCTCTCTTTTCTCTAAATTAAAAATTGGAAAGTTTTACTGTTGCGAGTAACAATAATATGTAAGAATGATAGCGATAATAAGATGCAGCAGTAATCCGAGACGTTTCAGAGATTGTAATTTTTATTCAAGTTGAATCATGTTCGTCGATCAAGTCGGAAATATAAATTTGCGACAGTGGAGAGATTTACGCTGTGCGTCTCCTCTCTTATACGAGATGCAAATTCTCCTATGACTATGCAATCGCGTGCGGACGTGCACGCGCCGTATCGGTTGCTTTACGCACGGGGCAAGGTTGCGAAGGGCGCGGGACAGGAGAACGAGCAATTAGCGTTGAATAATGACGCCGGCGTCCCGCTGCGGTATGCGGCACCATGTTAGGTGTGGTTCGAGCCGTTCCGCGCCAAAACGGTCACTTTTCGGAGCAAAGGAAATACTTCTACGAATTTTAATCACTGGGATTTGTTACTAGAAAATTCTAAGACCAACGTATAAATGCGTGCTTGTGCGTATTTTTGCCGGAAACTAAATATTTCGTATCCTATAGAAAAAAAATTAAACCTCAATTAACGATGATATTTATAAACTAATATTTATTTATTATTTTAACATTTGTCTATAAAAAAAGTGTGTTTGTTTATTTTTTTCGCAGATCTTTGACAGTATTATTCCTTGCGCCATCATCACACCACTCGACTGTTTTTGGGAGGGTAGTAAACTCTTGGGTCCGGAATTTCCTGTTCACATACCGTAAGTATTGTCGCGATTACTCTCTTCTGCGATTAATAGCCGACAAAGAAATATTCAGCTGCAAACTCTTACATTTTGTAAGTTTGACTGGCATTAATATGAACGTTATTCCGTCGACATTTAAAAAAAATTTCACAATGTAGTTATATTAAATAAATTGGTCTGGCTTGTAAACGTTCAATATGTATTGTATTTCTTGTGATTTCTGTCCCGTGATTTATTTATGAGATTTTTATTGTAAACTTTAATTGCTAGGGTAAGTAAAAAAAAATTAATTAAGTCGACGAAAAAGACCATTTAAATTTTTCTTCTGGTTGTACAGTGGTGTGAAGAGCAACAAGCGCGTCAAATGGACGAATCTGAATCCCTCCACATTGTTGGACGAGATAAAGACCCTGCTGATCTCGTTTCCCTTCAAAACACTCGAGGATTACATGAAGAGGGCCGGGATAACGAACGGCTATCAGAGCAAGCCCTGCCTGAATCCGGCGGATCCCGAATGCCCGGAAACCGCACCTAACAAACAGTCCCAAAAGGTAAAGTATCCGCTAACGTGGTCATTCAGCCCGACATTAAAACCGCCAGTTCCGTTGAATCCTATATAAAATTGCTGAAGGAGCAAAAAAAAGGGGGGGGGGAGGGAATGACGTATAAAAATATTTTCTCCCTTCAATCGGACGTCATCTCGTGTCTAGACGGAATTTGCAATTTACGGCAAGCGAGAATAGCTGTGATAATCACGTGCGTGCTTCGACTCGAAAGTAGATTTCGGAAACGGGACGAGAGAGTGCAGGGATAGGAATCCGCGATAGAGAATCGCGGCGTAATTCGACGTACGCTCGCGTGTGCATTGCGTCGGACGAAAGAGAAAAGAAAGAGGTGGAACACGAAGAAGAGGAGGACGTCGCCGCGACAAGATAATATAAAGACTGTCACCGGCGAGACATTCGTCCGTGCGACTCGCGTCGAGAATAACAAGCGATCGTTTGAAATTCTCTACCGGATACGACGGCCGGTTGTGCGCACGCACGTATATACGCGGACCGCGCTGTGGGCGCTTTGATGTCCAGCCCGCGGAATGACGGCGATGAATATTTAACCGCGCGTCTCTTCGCCGCGCGCGATTGAAATCGTCGTCGTCGTCGTCGTTTCTTTCGCGCGTTACACGAGTCGAGAGATTTCGGTCGCTCTGCTCTCATTACGACGACGAGGGCTTCAGTCTTAGATTACGTATGTACATGTTAATTAATAGTTTATGTTAATTCTTCTCGCCGGTCTTGCGGTTTGTTCGATTTTCAATCTAAATTCCGATCGCTTCGACAAATGATAATGGATCGATTAAAGACCGACGGGAAGAAATCGATCTTTCGATCCACGTCGCGCCTGCGGTTTTTTACCTGCGATCGAGAAACGAGAACGACGAGGTGGAGAGGGAGGGGCGGGAGGGGGAGCATAGCTAGCTCGTTGTCCGCGGCAATTAAAAGACGCGTCTCGTCGTGACGATTCCGCGGCGTTCGGCGCTGCTCGTCGCCGCGCGTTTAAAGACAAGATAAGAAGGCGGATCGATGGCGGCGGGGCGGGGGTGGCGGGGTATGGTGGCCACACGGTCTGAATGAAAGGACGATCCCTGCGCGCGAAAACGGCCGATGAGTATGCGAGTCGCGTGGGCCGCGGCGCGGCGTGGCGGCCCATTAAAATAATAAAATCGAGTGACGTGCGTCATTATTGCGCTACGCCGGTGGTCGCGCGGGCCGGAGCATGTGCCCGGTCCCCGGCCCGGCCCAGCAGCGGTCCCCCCCCCTCCCCTCCGCCACACACGCACACACGCACGCACGCACCGGCGCATCGCATTACGCGGCCGTCATTTCGGTGTCATTAACATACGCGCGGCCGGCGTGCTCTGACACGTGCACAAACGTGAATCGCATCGCATCGCATCGCATCGCTACGAGCGCGCGCGTGCGTGTGCGTACATTAGCATCGGCGAAGATCCCTCTTTCTCTCTTTCTCTCCCTCTTCCCTCCCCTTTAATCTTCCCCTTTTTTTCTCTTCCTTTTCTCTGCCCTCTTTCTCCTTCTCTCTTCTTTCTTTCTCGCTCCCTCTCTCTCTCTCTCTTTTTCTCTCGGACACACACCTATTTCTATTTTCATAACGGGTATGCGCGCTCTCGTACTTAAAGTAATTGCACTTAATGGCCACGCGGCGCGGCCGCGCGGCATGCATATGCGCTTCGGAATATTTCGAGTGTAGCTGCAGGCGGGGCACGTTGATCGGGTGTTTAAGTCAAGAACCGGCATCGCGTGTTCCGCGTATGCACGGGCCCGTCCCGAGGAGTTCGCGCGCGCTCGCGCGTGATCGCCGCGGCCGTCACGACGCACGCATTACACACAGGCGTGCGTGCGGTTTTTCTTCTTCTCGCTAATTCAGCGTAATTAATTGCCGTTGATTCGCGATAGGACAAAAATAATTAATTCCCATTTCTTTTTTTTTTTTTTTTTTTTTTCGTCGACGACTACGTCGAGACGACGTTTCCTATAAATGCCGGGGCGACTTGGAGGCCCGATAAGGCCTGTGATGAAGGAACGTCACGCGTATCGGAATTAGAGAAACGCGAGCGACGCGGTATTTACCATCGTACCTACGTCGGGCTATTTTTCTCCCGGATGCGTACCGACGACGCCGGAAGACGTCGTGGAACGTGTCGCGCGGGCACGAGTAAAAAGCACGAAAAGCGTGCCAGCGCGCGACTCGGCTACATTCTACTGCACGCTTCTTCGTGGAATTACATAATGCCGGCCAGGTGTGAGGTAACCGATTTCAATCGCACGTACGATCGGGGGACGATTACGAGGCTTTATTTGGTATGCCTTTTCTATGTACCCCGTCCTATGTACACTTCCGCGATGCAGCGGCACTTAATGACGTGCTTTCAATTCAATTAGGACGACTGTCTAGTCATACCAACTTCATCCGATTGCATTTAATTAATAAAAAGAGAAATAAAAAATCCCATATATACCTGTATAAAGTGATATTATAAATATCGTGCCCTTCCCCTAAATCTGGTAATCCAATTCATTTTCAATTTATCATGATTTTTTCAATTTTTTTTATTAAAAAGATATTTTAATACATAAAATTGAAAATGAAGGATTACCAGATTTAGGGGAAGGGCACGATATTTATAATATCACTTTATACAGGTATATATGGGATTTTTTATTAAAATATCTTTTTAATACAAAAAATTGAAAAAGTCACGATAAATTGAAAATGAAGGATTACCAAATTTAGAGGAAGGGCACGATATTTGTAATATCACTTTATACAGGTATGCGGAACTTTATTTCTCTTTTGATTAATTAAATGCAATCGGATGAAGTTATGGTATATGACTTTTTAATGTCTTACATTAAAATTCCAGTTAGATTTGCCCTGAGAATGATCGAGATTTACAATTTTTTTTTGAATCTACTCCTCTAGAATTTCTCGAATTTCAAAGAAAGTCTTTCATTTATTCGTTCACTTACAATTCGGGAGCCGGTGCTTCGACACTTTTGTAAAGGAAAAATCGACTCGAGATCGGTTTCAAAGAGGCCACGGTTCAAAGGAAACGACGGGCGCGGCGCGCCTGCATTTCTATACGCGCGGAAAGGAAGGGAAAATCTTACTCGAGATACGTCCAGATACAGTAATAATTCCGTCGTTGAGATTCTATTCTTCGTGCCGCGTTGCGGCGGACGCTCATCTGTTCTGGTATGATATAAAGGACCAGTGGACAAGGCAGCTTGATCGTCTAAAGTCACGGCCGGTATGCCCTTTTATAGGACCCTATAAAGTCTCTCGGTGTGGGGTCCACGACACCCCCGGTTATTCCCTATAAGAAAGAACGTCGCTCGAACCCCCTGTAATAATTCTTTGCCGTAGGAATTCCTGGCGTGACTTGACACGGTTCTGCCTTCGGTCACGCTTGAGAAATTCATAGATGAAAAACAAAATGTTGCGGAAGGGCTTGAGGTGGCAGATAGGAAAAGAAACGCGTTTCTATCCAGTCCCTTGAAACGGTTGCCGCTTATGAAAAAAAAAAAAAAAAAAAACCACGGGAATTAATCTAATTTTTAATTGTGATTTTTATTTATGTTAATTATTATCTGCTAATTATTATCGTCGAAATTGAATTAATAACCAAAGAAATTGTCGCTTCGTACAGAATGGACAAAAATCAATTATTTTATACTTCTAATTTTCGACGGAATGGAGTTTTACTTGAGAAAAAATTATATACCTGGAGAATCATTTTTTAATCGGTTTCCTTTCGCGTAATTACGTTCCAAAATTATCTAATTTTGCTCTCAGGGTAGTTTTTCATTTTACCAAATTTTCCAATTTTCCGTTGCTTTCTGTAATAGGTACCTGACGTAGGAGCCGAGCTAACAGGTGGCTGCTATGGATTCGCGGCGAAATACATGCACTGGCCGGAGGAGCTGGTGGTCGGCGGCGCCAAGCACAACAAGACGGGCCACTTGACTCGCGCGGCCGCGCTGCAGACTGTGGTGCAGCTGATGGGCGAGCGCGAGCTGTACGATTTCCTGGCGAACACCTACAGGGTCCATCATATCGATTGGTCGCAGGAGAAGGCGGCTAAGGTTCTTGAGGATTGGCAGAGAGTGTTCAGCAACGAGGTGAAGAAGTTGGTGGAGGGCAACGGGTCGGCGCCGTACAATCTGTACGCTTTCAGTACGACAACCATGAATGACATCCTCGGGAAGTACAGCGAGGTGTCCGTCACGAAGATCACGATCGGTTGCGTGCTTATGGTTAGAAGTGACTCATATATAATTGATTAATTATGTGTAATTGTTATGATAAAGTTTGAAGATGTCGACGCGCCAAATGTATTATACGATCCATTTTACTTGTCTGTTAATTGATTTTTTCAAATCTTATCTTTCCAGTTGTTGTATGCCGGTATAGTTCTCTTTCGTTGGAAAGATCCGGTGCGTTCGCAGTCCGGGGTAGGAATGGCTGGCGTGATGCTGATTTGCGCCACAGTAGCCGCAGGATTAGGTTTCTGCGCGCTCCTGGGGATCCCGTTCAATGCCACCACGACGCAGATAGTGCCGTTTCTCGCCCTCGGTCTGGGCGTGCACGACATGTTCCTGCTGACGCATACGTATGCCGAGCTGTCGGTAAACGAAGTGCCCAGCAGCGAGCAAACGGGGGTCGTTCTCAAGCGAACCGGTCTGTCGGTGCTGCTGACAGGCCTCACCAACGTTATCGCCTTCTTCGCCGCGTCGATAATCCCGATCCCGGCCCTCCGAACGTTCTGCATGCAAGCCGGCATTGTGCTGCTGTTCAATCTGGCCGCCATGCTGCTGATATTCCCCGCGATGGTCAGCCTAGATCTGCGACGTAGGCGTTCCGGCAGGAAGGATATCCTCTGCTGCTGCTTACCGGCGTCACCCAATCTCGGGAAGAACAGGTACTCCGTGAAGAACAACGGCACGGTCAAGCAAATGGTTACCAGGGCGATACCACCTGAGAGACGAGAAACCTGCACGCAGATCTTAACACCGCAGAATACGCAGAACGAATCCTGGGTATGAAATGACGTACATACCGTATATATATATATATATACTGGATCGCGCTCTATAAAGTTATATATTGCAAAAGATAATATTCGATTTATTAGGCATTGAAAAAAATTTATTTTGATAAGCTTAATTACAATTCGATAAAAATCAAGGAAGACTTGCTTTTACGGCTAACCAAGCATATATAAACATAAAAATAATAATTACTTTTTATGAATATTTTATGTGTATTTGCATCGATTAAATTAATGCAGGATTATCTACAAATATTCCATTTGTGTTGCAGATAGGTGGAAATATCATCGACGCGGAGCTGGAGAAGCAGTGTACCGAGGAAGACACGTTGACCGGATGTTCGCAGGACGATTGTCTGAGCTTCTCCCTGACGCAGCTCGCGTCACGGAATTACGCACCCTTCATCAGTCGACCGGCTACCAAAGCGTTCGGCATGATAATCCTGATCGCCGTGCTGAGCGGTAGCATATGGGAGGCGGTATCCCTACGTGACGGCCTGGATCTGACTGATCTGGTGCCGCAGAACTCGAACGAGCACGCATTCCTGTCCGCCCAGGCGAAGTATTTCGGCTTCTACAACATGTACGCGGTCACCGGCCGAGATTTCGAATACCCCAATAATCAACGACTGTTATACGAGTATCATGACGCCTTTATGCGGATCAAGAACGTCATCAAGAACGACAACGGCGGCCTGCCCGAGTTCTGGCTCGGCCTGTTCCGCGACTGGCTAAAGGGCCTGCAGACGGCGTTCGACAAGGACTTCAAAAACGGCTGCATCACGCAGGAGAGATGGTTTCCGAACGCGAGCGACGACGCGATTTTGGCGTACAAGTTACTCGTGCAGACCGGTCACGTGGACAATCCGATCGACAAGACGCTGATCACTCAGGTGAAACTGGTCGACAGGGATGGTATCATCAATCCACGCGCTTTCTACAACTACTTGAGCGCATGGGCGTCCAACGACGCGCTTGCCTACGGTGCTTCGCAGGCGAATCTGAGGCCCGAACCGCGCCAGTGGATCTACATTAGCGACCACGAGCTCAAGATCCCCAAGAGCATGCCGCTCACGTACGCGCAGATGCCGTTTTACTTGCACAGGCTCACGAATACGCAAGATATCACGGAGCTGATCGGCAGCGTCCGGGAGCTGTGCAAAAAATTTGAGGAACGCGGTTTGCCGAATTTCCCGTCCGGCATATTGTTCCTCTTCTGGGAACAGTATATGAATCTGAGGAGTTCGATGGGTATCGCCCTCCTGGCCGCGTTGGGTGTGAGCATCTTAATAGTCGGTCTCCTGCTACTCAATATATGGGCCGCCGTACTGGTCGGCGTTTCCCTTCTCGGTGTTATCGCGCAATTACTAGGCATTATGAGCCTGCTCAATATCAAGTTAAGCGCGGTGCCTGCCGTACTGCTAGTGGTTAGCGTGGGCATAGCTGTTCATTTCACGGTGCACATCTGCCTGGTAAGTAATTTAAGAAACTTCTTTGCACATTTTAATTTAATTTAATTTAATGTTTTTTTTTATCATTGACTGAGTTAACGATATCAGAAGCGAATTTTTTCGAAAATTAAAAGAGAAACGTTGTTGCGATTGTTATTTCATCAATTGTTATTGATGTTATTTATGCATCAATATTTCCTTTGACTCCAATTGATTTTCCTATTAAGTTTTCTTATTTTAAGCTATATTTCCGTTATCTTAAGCCATGCGATTCCTTTTCAGAGTTTTGTTACCAGTGTGGGCAGCAGAGATCGCAGGATGCGCTTAGCTCTGGAACACATGTTCGCTCCGGTTGTCCACAGCGCGTTCACCACTCTGCTCGCCGTGGCGATGCTCGCCTTCTCGGAGTTCAACTTCATAGTCAATTATTTTTTCCTCGTGTTACTCTGCGTGATCGGCATCAGTCTTGTGAACGGCGTCTTCTTTTTCCCCATTCTGCTGTCGCTCATCGGCCCGAAGGCGGAGGTGATCCCGAACGATCATCCGGATCGCATATCCACGCCGACGCCGCCGGCGTCGCCCGTTGTGAGGAGATCCAAGCCGCCCACGCCGCCGAGGAGGTCTCACAAAATCGACAATGCCCGGCTGCATGCCGAACCGTCGCTCACGACTATCAGCGAGGAGCCCAATTCGTGGCACAGTACGCAGGACGCGCAGTCCTGCATCATCGTCCAGCCGGAGCTCAAAGTGGAGACCACGTCCACGTGTGGCAATCAGGTGCGTTGGCGATATTCGCGAATATCGATCGGATTTTTTATTCAGCATGAGAGCGTAACTTTCGCCAATGAATTTGTCACGTTTCTCCGAGCATGACTAACGAGCGTGTTCTTTCATTTTTCGACTAACAGAACTGTAGCGGATCGGACTCGAGTGGGTCTAGTCGAACGTCGCCGGTTCCGCCCACATCACACATCACCACTAAGGTCACCGCAACGGCGAACATCAAGGTCGAAGTTCACACACCGCTAACTGGTGAGTACTCATTTTTTGAGAAAATTCTCGAAAGTTATCCCAAAATATTCCCCTGATGTTATTCGAGAAAAAACTTTAAACTAATTCGAAATGCTTGCCGATTAACGCATGTCACTGTGATCAAATATTGCTGAAAATATTCGCTTTCAAATTATTTTAACGTTTCGAGAGATTGTAAATTATTGTAAATAAATTTCCTTGATAAAGTCTTCGAGAATTAACATATAAAATCATATCATTGAAATCTGTGCAAACATTGAATAGAAAACTCAGAAAAATTTCTATAATAATATATCGTATTTTTTCTAATTTTCTGTGCAAATATCGCTACTTTCACGCTGTCTTTGCATATTTAATTCCCATCTTATTTTGTTAAGAGCATTTTTCAAATCAACATGAGGAGATGATAAAAAATATGTTTATTTTCATTGTAAAATTATAGGTGGAATGGATCGTAGTGAAAAATGCCGGCACTCGAGCAGCAATAATCGAAGGAGCTCGCGCTGCAGTGCGAACGTTAATGCTACGGAGTCTTCCGGTTCCGGTTCTGAGCCAGATTCAGACTCTAACCCAAAACATTAATAACAAGTACCGGGGGGACCGGCAGCTACTGCTCAAGTACCACGCAAAGCGGGAAAACACAGAAGGCTGACTAGGATAGATTAATAGATTTTCCACATTATCTTCTATTTTCCTCCTCCTTCCCCACCCGTCCTTACTTAGCTCCCTGTTTTTCCGTTCCACACTTCTTTCTTCCTCAAGTGAGTAATGCAACAATTAATTGTTTTTACTCAGACTTTAAAGATAGAAGTATTACAACAAATCGCAACTTTATAATATATATATATATATATATGAATATTTTCATAAACAATTTTGTTGCATGTTTACTACTTTATATTTTTACAACGAATTTTTTTTTAAATTTTAAATAGTTTTTTTTTGTAAGAACTTTACCTCTGTAAGAACTGACGTGTATTTACTTAATTGGGATTCGTTATCAGCATCGGACTATATACATTTTATGCGTATATTAATGAATTAATACAACGTTTTAAGTGAATTGTTCAAGTTTTTAATTTTAAAAATTTTGACCGAAAATGATGTAAAAGAAAGAAGAAAACAGGATGCTATTCGAATATTTTAACAGCGTATCGAATGAGTAATAGTATTACCAAGGACAATAACGTACAACTTAATGAATCAGTGGGTTAGATTATTCTTAGATAAATGTTATCTAAAATATACATTTTAGATGAATTTATTTAACTGAAGTGACTTGCGGCGTCACAAGAGTAGTTATGCACTACTGGCAAGCACACAAAAGAATTGTATGATTTTTGTACTACTCTTTCGAGTGAGAGAGGGAAGACAAATACACATGTCAGTGTGCGCCTTCGTTTATGATGAGACATCGACACTGGCGCGTCTGTGTCGGTGAGCGTATTTGTAATTATTTTGCGATGATGCATTTACGGGAGGAAAGCATTTACTACGATGTATATATACATACTTGTTATTTAATTAGAAAGGTAAAGATTCTACTTGTCTCTGGAAAACGGGACTGGTCCTTCAGAATGTAATCGTGTGAAATTTTGTGAGCGATGACGCTTCATTGTGGAAATTTCCTCAACCGAGGCGACAAAATTTCCAGACTACTATTTATTTCTTTTCTACATTATATCATATATATGTTACGCGCAAGTGTGTATGTATGTGACTACGAGCGGTATACCGAATCTCTCTTGAGACCCTATTTATTATTTATTTTTTAATAGTATTCCTCGGCGTTTCTGCGGGTGTGTGTGCGCGAGCGCAATATTTTGTACGCATAAATATACATATAAAATGACTTCCTTGTAAAAAAAAAATAATTATTTATATCGGACTATACGAGAATACTTTCATATTCGCCTACGACAAAATAACGGTACTTAATTTAACGGAGTTATATATATATTCCTATTCTGATATTCATACCTCTAACGTGTATAAAATTGTAATATATAGTACCAGTGACCTTAGTAAGTAAAAAATCACTGCGACACGTATTGTCATGAGATATGTGGACTCGTGAAATTATGTACAATATAAGAGCGAGAAGTATTCCTTATGCCAAGTCAATTTTGTATACATATGCGAGACTCGGGGGGGGTGTGTATTTAAAAGTGACGAAAAGCGTCCTGCGCGACGGCTTTTGCATTTTGTACATGTTGTATAAGCTCGGATGGGAAAAATAGTCAATATACCTCTAATATACGTATAAATTGTACCATGACTCTAATTATTTCGCAAAAACTTCATTGTAAGAATTTAATTATTTTTGATGTAAACAAACGTGTAGAAGCGGCTACTTGTGCGATTTATAATCCCATTTTTGTAAATATAAAGAACATTGTAATAAAAAAAGTAACACTTATCTTTACTGCCGTTGTGATATCGGCAATCATATAAATGAGATGGAGATACAAAATTAATTATAGTTATATCATTGCAAAAATAAAATTGCACAACTCAGATTATAAATATTCGAATTGCATAAAATTATATTAATTTTCTTTTTTATAGATATTTGTAATAATATCGCGAAAGATTTAGTTTATTTAAAATAATTATAAGTTTGAACCTTTAAATTAAAAAGAATCTCGAAAATTCTTCATTTCTTAAAACATTAATTAATTAAGATCGAAAAACATTAATTAACATTACCGCACATATGTAATTATATTTTTCCACATATTTTATCTATTTTTGAAAATTTATAACATATTGTATTTAAATTTTTATAATTTGATTATCGACATTTAAAGAGCTGCACTGATTTGACTGTAGTTGTTGATGGTCGATAAAGTGAGTATCAAACTTAACATAACCCTAATTCAATTACGAAGTTCGAGATCTTTTCACGGTGGCGCTGATGGTCGTTTTCCTGTTTTCATTCCTTCAATCTTTTCATCAGGCACGCCGTGAAGAGTTAACCTATGGCGAGTTAACCGATGCTCACGTGAAATTCAAATTCAAAGCAATGCGTGACGTGCCCTGCGAAACGAAGTTACTTTACATTCCTCGACGTAATATTCGACGATAATATTCCGAGGGAATAAAAAGAGAAAAAGCGACGTTTGCTGTTCAGCGATTGAATCAAGTTTTCTCAAAATAATATTGTCTTCAAGGAATCGCAAAGTGGAATACTCCTACAAATTTGGTTAAGTTAAGGTAAGATGTATGTTTTTACACGCATTTTACACGTATTTGTGGTTATATCCACAACTTTTTTATATTTATTGTATTTTGAATGAAGTACAAATTTAATTGCACATATATATTAACTACTAGTACACGCAATCGAGTCATTTGAGTTTCCCGAATATACTTCCACACGATTGAGACTGCACTTCATCAGTTTGACACTTGCAACGCTTGCGAGCATTATTTGTTCTTATTTAACGTTTTGATAAACAACAAAGGTGAAATAATTCCAAGAGCGTTGCGTTGCGTCAAGTGGAGTGCAGCCTGGAGCATTTGCTGTAAGCCGTTAGTCACAACACTTACATACAATTTTCTTTTACACAACCTCAAATACTTTTTAAATTTGTTAAAGCATGTAAGAATTACTTCATAATTTTTGTATGTTGTAATTAGAGGGAATGAAAATTGACCCAGCACGAAAAAATCTATTGTGTGTGTACAGTAAAGAACTGAAAGAATCATCGTTGTGTACTGAGAATTAATTATTTTGATGTGATCTGTGCAGGGAGCTATGAACAATGAGAGTGAACCTACGAAGCAGGATGAAGATAATCTGGAGGAGATAATCGACAAACAAGCCAAAAGGCTTCAGGAACTCTCTACTGCGACGATATTAATAAAAGGTATATATTGTTGTATTTGTTGCACTTTCATAAAATGTCAATTGTGTAATAAAGCATTTACATCATCATAGTTCTATTTTGTTTCTTATAGGTAAACAAAATGTAAAGAATGAACTTCATAAAGCGCGTGAGGAAGTCGAGCACATTTCCTGTAGCATCAACGAAACGAAGAAAATGTTGAGGAGAATACACGAACAGAACTTTCGGTCGAAGGTAAGCGAATTGTCTCTGGGAATTTATTTATTTTCACCAAGTCAAGAATTGGAAAAATGAATTGGAATGTACTTTTATTTGCGCGAAGGAATTATTGATGCTGGTTGAAACCTTGGACAAAAAAATTCTGCATCAGGAAAAGAATGTTCCACCCGAGCTCATACAAGGTTTCCAGAATGCAACTGTGTTGTCTCCCAATGTGTTAGAATGCACGGTAAATTCGACGCATCAATTGACAGTACCTAGTAGCATAAGAAGCGTCAAAACAATTGAGAAGCAAGAAATGGTGAAGGATTGTAAAAGAACGCTTTTCAATGAACCAGAAGTATGCCCAACGATATCATTTCTCGATTCAGAAGAGATCAACAAGATCCCTAAGTACATTATTGGGAGGCAAACCGTTAATAGTTTAGAGATAATTAATAACTTTATAAGCTCCATAAATCAAACGCTAATTGCTAAGTATACAATCTTATCGTTGGGAAAGGCTAACGCTCAAAAGAAGGGTGAAATTAATCTGTTTTTACATTATAAAAAGCAAGAATTTGATATGCAAAATGAAAATGGTGAGTTTTCAGTCACTCAATAGTTTGTATAAGCATGTGAATTTGTAATGTAAATATGTGTAAATAATTATAACAAAGCAAAAATAACAAAGTAATAAATGCTTCATATCTTGTATCAAAATTATTTTCAGGATATCTCTACTTTTTCACAGCTGAGGATTATTACAATCAAACGAAAACAAAGATTGATAGGACCAAGTTCAATTTACTAACTGCGTTGCGCCATTGCAGACGTTTACGAGAATGCAGGATCAAAAATGAATTACGTTATGTTATAACGCCACATTAATTAATAAAAATTTCTTTGTATACATGCATTTTTAACTTGATCATGATAAGAAAATGTACTGTAACAATTTTAATAATATTGTGAATATATAGCTCTAATATTCTTGTATTATTAACATGGTTAGAATCTTGAAATATATAAAAATAGAATATATACAATAGGTATATAATATTTTGTAAAATATTCATTCCTAAAATATTACTATTTTTATATATGAAATTAGAAGTATGTCAAATTATGTAAAATTATACTAATTTATATAAAAATATAATAAAATTAGCCATGTTATCAAAATTATATATTTATTTTATTTTTGATAAGGTTAGTTTTTCGATCTAAATATACATTTCCAATATTCTTAACATAATAATATAATATTATTAACACAGTTAGAATCTTGAAATATATAAAAATAGAATTTAAAAGATATGTATCTATATACATATATATATATGATATATTTATAAAACAATCATTTCTGATATATTAATATTTTTATATATACGAAATTATAAGTATCATTTATGTCAAAGTTATACGAATTTATGCAAAAAAAATATAACAAAATTAACCATGTTACTATAATATATTATATTCGCTTTATCTCTGATAAGATTAATTTTTCCATCTTCATTAAATACTTTTAATTAATTAAATGAAATTATCAAAGTACTACATTTTCTTTTCAACATATACATTATACGTGAATTAAAAGAATAATCGTATATATAACCTCTCTATATTTCTGCTATTTCATTTGCATTTATTTGGAAACAAAATAAAAAAGGTAACGAAGTAATTTCGCAATTGTTTCAGAAGTAGCAGACAGTTGTTTCTAGTTAGCTAACCAATCTGTTTGTTTGTCTTTGAAGAAGCTGAATCGTGGTAGCAAGAAAATTCTATATCAAGATTATTGAGTTTGCCATGAAAGAATATTTGAATATTTGAATATATTTATGTTCTGTTTAAAGAAAAAAAAGAGGTAATCTGCTACATTTTTTTATCACAACGTTTCAAGCATTTTCTACAGTGTATAAAATAAATTTGGTGTGAAATCAATATGCATTATAATTTTGATTTTAAATATTTTATCATAAATAAACATTTGAATAATTATAAAATATTATTTAATGATATCCACTAATTTTATGATTAAATGATTATAAATAAAGTATATTTTATATCTTAGTGTCTTGTAGATGTTTGGCAAAAGATAAACGTATGTGGTTAAATATTAAAGTGTTTGCAATTTTGTTTAATTGTGTGAATTTAATTTGCAGCGATAAAACATGTTACAAGCGGAGTCAATTAGCACGTTAAGTGACCGCGAAGATGATATTGACGATTTGGATGGTTCTATGATATGGTCCCAAGAGGAGCCACTTTCTTCCAACGAAATATTGGAATTGCCGGTGCAAGATGAAAAAGCAAAGAGTTCACTTGCTTTCTGTCGATTGTGTGCCGGTCAAACCGCCAATCCAATATATATCTATTCTGAATTCGGAGAGTCAATGCAATTGGCACATAAAATAAATACATGTCTAAGCATTAAGGTAAGCTGTTATATAAATGATTATTTTTTATTCAAATGCATTCAAATATTTTTTATTCAATTCATATAATATATGTTAGAAAGGGAATCTAGTACTTTGGCAATATTTTATTAAAACTACTTTAAACATACATAATGCATACTGTGATTCTTGCAAATGTATATATATATATATGTATGTACTAAAATGCTTGTAAATATGCGTATTACATAAGGTGATTTATTGTAGATTAAGAAGACGGACCCATTACCGAAGCAGCTTTGCTTGGCCTGCGTTGAGAAAGTGAACTGGTGCGACAAATTTGACATGCAATGCATTAAAGCGGAGGAAATCCTGTCGACGATGCTAAAGGAGAAGCAGTCTTTTAACATTTCCAATCAATTATTTTCCGATCAACAGTCCTGTCCCTTATGTGTAAAGGGCTTCATGAACATGTGCGAGGAGACAATCCAGAATACGAAGGACATGGAACTGTACGAGAATGATATAATCCTAGAGAGCAGCGACGAGGAGAACATGTTTAATGACGCGAAGGTCAATAAGGAAAGCGGGAGTCATTCCATCACATTGCAGTGCCTGGGAACTAGGCAGAGATATTTAAAATGCGGAGCGTGCATGAATCTTTACCACACCGAGGAGACCCTGGACGGTCACAAGTGCAAGCCCAGTATACAGAACACGACAAAACCGTACTGTTGTCTCGTGTGCGACAAGACGTTTACGTTCGAGGAACGACTGAACTTCCACATGCGATTTCACAGGGGCGCGAAGGCGTTGTACTGCGAGGTCTGCAAGATAACGTTCGGCAAGGAGCTGAAGCTATTCTACCACTACAAGAGGCAACACTCTAATCACGAGATTAGCGTCTCGTGTCTGCAGTGCGGAAAGCTGTTCGAGTGTCAGGAGGCGCTCCGGGTGCACGTTTGCGTCGACGGTAAAATACGGCCGCACATTTGCGAGGTGTGCAACAAGGGCTTCTTCGACGGCTACACGCTGAAGCGTCACGTGGTGACGCACCTGCCCGAGAAGCCGTACAAGTGCACGGAGTGCTCGAAGAGCTTCACGCAGAAATCGCGATTGAACAAGCACGTCGCGAGCCACTGCATCGTCATCGAGAACAGCCAGACGGTCTGGAAGTGCGTCCAGTGCGGCGAGGCGTTCGCCTCCTGCGACGACGCGGATATTCATTGCAAGATAACACACGAGGACAGGGCCGCGCTGATCGAGGAGCTGCCGACGTCGAAGCTGTACCACTGCGAGTTCTGCAACAGCCACTTCACCAACGCGGACAACCTGAGGGCCCATCAAAAGCGTCACGTTGTCGAGAGACCGTACACGTGCAACACGTGCGTGGCCACTTGCAAATCGTTCGCGGAGGCTGTCTTGCACTGGAAGGAACATCCCAGACTGTTCAAGGTTCTCGTCGTCTTTCTGTGCGACGTCTGCAACAGGGACATGAAGGAACTGTCCCTGTTGTACAAGCACAGGCAAAACAGGCACGACCGTGCGCCCAGATTGTCCGAGTCCGGCGACGCGAGGTACGTCTGCGAGCTCTGCGGGAGCGTGTTCGAGAGGAGCGAGGATATACGGGGGCACGGACGGGATCAGTGCTCCAAGTTCCCCTGCGACATCTGCGGCAGCCTGCTGCCCACGGCGAACTCGTTGAACGCACACAAGAGGCGGCACAACGGCCTGCGGCCGTACGTCTGTAACATTTGCGGCAAGAGTTACACTCAGTCGAGCCACATGTGGACGCACAAGAGATTCCACATGGGCATCAAGCCGTACGCTTGCGAGTATTGCGACCAGCGTTTCACGATCAAGCCGGACCTGGCGGATCACGTCAGGAAGAAGCACACGAGGGAGAGGCCGTTCAAGTGCGACGTGTGCAACAAGGCTTTCCTGACCGGGTCCGTGTTCTACCAGCACCGACTGATACACCGCGGCGATCGCAGGTACAAGTGCCATTACTGCGAGAAGGCCTTCACCAGAACGGAGGCCTTGAACAACCACATCAAAATTCACACCGGCGAAAAGCCGCACTCGTGCGACGTGTGCGGCAGATGCTTCAGGCAAAAGGGCGATATGAGGAAACACAGACGCACCAAGCACGCCTCCGAGCAAGTTAAATCTTGAGAATTGTCGCGTGTCAGAGAGATGTAGAGTTATTATTCCGTTATTTTTGCATTTTAATTATTATACCGATATAAGTAATTGATACGTACATACACGCATATTTGTGCGAAATAGCATTACCGTAGGCAGACACTGATTATTAAGCTATACTTTTTTTCAATAAGCAGTAAAGTATTCCGAAGAATGTGTTATTAAATTATTATAAGGAACGTAAAATAAATAAGAATATATAATACGTACATGATACATATGTAATGTGCGCTCAATATTATTATATTAAATATATGATTGTACAAATATAAATGCTATATATATATATAACATTTTGATAATATTGATATATCAATATATTATACTTTATATCATTTCTAAACATAAGATAGCTTAGCTACATCTACATAAATTAAACTTTCTAGACATCAACTATTTCATTTAAAATACACATAAAATTTGTAAATAAAAAATTAAAATTTTCCAGCTTTAATATATACATATAGTATATATACATATACAGCAATTGACTTCTCTCTCTGATTCCGAAAAATATGATATTCATATAAATATAATTTTAAACGTACATCTTAGAACATATATTACATATATTTATTATATATATTATATTTATTTATATGTTCTAAAACGTACATACACGATTATATTAACATATCTATATATACACATTAGATAATGTTATAATATATAAAAAGTTATATCTATGATACAAAACATATTCACTAAGTAATAGTTTACTTCGCCGTATGTACATTAAAAATTAAACACCTAACGCTGCACTTTCCTCTAAACTTACCACCGCAAATTATTCGTTCATCTGTTCCACATTATGCGTTTTATCTTACATTAGATCAAATTAGACCGTCGACCAATTTCAAATGGCCGCGTGTGCGCTGCAAACGCACACGACAGGTGCGCGCCGTTACGCCGCGCGTGCGCGTCCTGGAACAGGTGATGTTACATACCTGCGATGTCTCATGACCGCCGTCATCGTGCATCCAATCGTCACGCACGGACGAGCTGCTGCTGCTGCTGCTGCCGCTGGACGACCCGATACCTGGCTGTGATAATCACCGAGGCCCGTCGCGCCCACACACGCGGGACACACGTCGCGACGACCGCCGAGATGACAGTGCCGAGATAGAATTGTGTGCCGACAGGCACAACAACAGTCCCGAGATTCCACGGAGCGGATTATATACTGGGTACGTGGTGGTGATAGCAGCCCCCTCCGAGAGCGACGGCGAGGAGCAAGGGTATCGTCGCCGTCGCCGCGCGCGCGAGAACTCGCCTCGGAACTCCGTCTCCTGTTCGGCCACGGGAAAGAGAATCCCTCGCGAGTCCGTGTCCGAGAGCGCGACTTAACCTTAAACGCGCGGTTTTGACATATGTAACGGGCGTACGCATGGAGAGAGGAAGGGACGGCGTAATTTGTAAACAAAGCCCGTGAGGTAGCGAGATGGTGGCCGAATGATTCCGCGAATTATTATTATTATTATTTTTTACGCCCGTTATGCATCATTGTAACGCGTGACGTGGGGATGTGTATCATATTTTACATCTTTTCTTAATTTCATTGTAAAACGTATTGTTGTTGACGTTTTCCCTGAAAACAGGGGAGAACCATGGCTTTCCCACCATTAGTCAGCTCCACGCCACCGCCCTTGGACAATTTTGGAGAGTCCGACGAGGATGAATTCGGAGATTTTGCTGGTGGAATAGACGGTAATTATTTGTAAATTTTATAATAGCTGTTACATTTAGCGAAATATCAAATGGCAAACCATATTGCGTGTTACACAGTATTTTGTATCGTCTTCCAATTTGTACAATTGCCATTGTAGGTCTGTCTATTTCATCGGAGTCCCCGCAGAAACTCATTACTCCGATGCAAACACCAACAGCATCGCAGAATGCGTCTCCTAGAGTAAACGGTATTAGCGAGTCACCAGTATTGGGCAATCGCCCCAAGATAAGCGACGCCTCGAAACGCGGCGTCGTCGACGATCTGTTGATCGTCGAGAGGGCGGAGAACAATGTGAGCCACGTAAGATTGAAGGCTAGAGCGGACGATAGTAACGTATTGGAGAATAATTTCGAGGACGCTAGTGTAACGGAACACAATGTATTAGATTCACCTAGGAATGGCGAGTCGCGTAATAGCGTCGAGACTAGTAATAGCGTTGATCACGTTTGTACTCAGAATGTTTTAGCTAAGGAGAATTTTGTTGATACGGATGTAATTAGTAGCAACAACAGTAGTTTAGCCGATAGCGTAAAGACGGTCAGCGAGCAGGAGGGATCGTCGAACGGCGGTCTCGAGGCGAACGACGAGGTCGAGCCCGTGAGTCTGGACTTGGAGGATCCCACGAGCACGCCGGACATTCTGCAGCAGCTGGACGACGATTTTTACAATTACGAGCAGTATGAGGACACCGCCGAGTGGGACGACGCTGTCTGCGACAAGGAGACGGGTGTGACGGTCCTGCAGACGGGCTACTTGGACGACAAGCCTAATTCCGCGGACGCGACGGAGTGCAACGTGGCGGATGACGTCGTCGGAGAAACTTACCCGCCGTACGGCGAGAACGAGTCCTGTGTCCGCGATACGAACGACAAATCTGTCTTCGTCCACGACGAGAGGACAATTTCCAGTTTTGTTACCTCGCAAGAACTCAACGTAGACGGTAGCAACGTTTTTAGAGAATCGGACTGTGAATTCAGTATTCAGCCGCAGTATATAGAGATGTACGATGTAGTGTCCAACGACGAGACGTCGAGTAGAACCGTAAACGATTCGTTCAATTTTGATTTCACTTTCGACGACGACGACGACGTCGACGATGACGACGACGACGACGACGATGCTGTGAGAGAGGAATCAAACTTACATCATACATCCGTACATATGGAAGACATTCACCCCCGCGACTCTAGTAGAAAGATCGACGCGGGTACTTTTCGTAATAATAATTTCTGCGATGTAAAAACTACCGTACAATCAAAAGAGAGCGAGTATGTAGCCGTAGGGACGAAAAATCAAACTGTTCAAGAGGTAGGCGAGGAGGTGAGAAACGGGGCGCGTGAGGAGACTCCCGCACGCGGGGAAGTGGAGCCGAGCGACGTGGAGGCGCGCGAACGATACATTCCGGAAAACGGTCTTGACGCACACGATCTCGATAACTCCGACTTCACGGAGTTCATGGAGCATAGAGATTTCGACGAAGATGCGTCGGAGCTGACGAATAACTGCAATTCGATGTCCAATAGTGGTGCACGCGAGACAGTACAAACTCACGGTTCACACAGATCCCCATCCGGCGCATCTTGTATACAAAAGTTTTCACCGACCGAAGGAGCTTCACTGCCATCTTCTACCAATACATCCCTCGACTGCTTAAAGGATAAAGCCAATATTACGAGTGCCGCGGGCGAGGACGAATGTGCCACATACGAGAGCGAAAATTCTGTAGTATACTTTAGCGACGGTGAATTTTATGACTTTCCTTTACGGACGATCGAGCCGGCGGCGGCGGCGGCGGCGGCCAAAGCATGGGAGGACAGCAGCGGCGCCGGATTCGAAAGCGCGGACAACGAGAACGACGATTTCGGCGATTTCGCTAATTTTTCGAGCACGACGGCGGAGTGGAAGTCTGACGACGCTGGAGAACTGAAGGTGCCTGAGGACGATGACGGCGACGGCGACGACGACGACGACGACGATTTTGGAGACTTTAGTAATTTCGAAACGCCAACGGATGTAGTAGAGACACAGCAGTTTAGTTTAAAAGAGTCTATATGTCGGATAGAGAACAAGAATGTGAGTTTAGGAATGTTTGTGTTATACTGTGATTGCTAGTAGTTCATTTAGCGTAACGAGTGTGTCGCTTTTGATTTTAGATCTCTTTTAGAGTCTTGCATTTTAATGTAAATAATAATAATTTAATGTATTTTAACGCGCGTATAATTTAATAATTGAAACACTTTCAGGCCGCGAATAAAATAGAAGATATAATAACGAGCATGTTCTCGGTGCTTTCGGAACATCACGAGGTCGAGATAAAAGCCTTAATAGATAAAGCGGATAAAGTTTGGCAGAGTGTGAAGAACTTGGAGGAAACCAATGCCCTTACTTACCAATGGGCGAACAGTAGCAGTAACAACGTCCTTTTGAATGCCCTTGGCATCGATTCTCGGAACATTGTAAGTATGCGCGACCTGTGCATCATCAGGATATTTTATATATTTATGAATATGCTTATCAATATTTTGTATATTTATGTACAAGAGTAACGATATTTTCGTTATGTGAAATTAAAGCTATTCGGACCGAGGTGGAACCCGAATATACCGAGATTCGCTGCAAATCTCGGTTTTACTCCGTTAGAGCCAATTAAAGCTACTGCTGAGCCTCAGCAGCCATCTGCAGCCAGTACCAGCAAGACACAAGGCGCCGCAGCTTGTTCAGATGTAAGTTTGAGGCTTTTATTTCTAGTAGTACGTGTAAGTAATTTGCATATTAATTGATAATTGTATCGTCGTATTAGGAAGTACCTGCCGCCCAATTTGATTGGAATAGTTCTGGCCTTGTGAATCCTCTAGATGCTAGTAAGTATCGTGATTTGCATGTTTGGTGATTTTAATATATTGCATTGAAGAAAAGAAAAAAAGAAACATTGCTGAATGTCTCATTTGCTAAATGACATTATCACGAGAAAGAGAATAACTTCCGAATCGAGTATTCTGTATGTAAAAGTAGTCATGGTGCTGTGTTATAACATATAGACCACGTGTGTCGAATTTTGTCCTAAATGCCGCGAAAAATAACGATACAGGTGGTGGTGGGTTATCCGCTCTTCTGCCTCTGGATCTGTTGTGTCCGTTTGACCCTCTACTAACACCTCATTGCTCCACACATTCCGAATCCTATCATCAGTCATCTTGCTCAACGAACTCCGTTTATTACTGTAAGTGCCTAAGCCGTAATTGTCTTTGTCTTTGCACACATGTATATGTATACTATAATCATAACTCTTGTTTCGAATAGAAAGATATCTTTCCTGATTGCAAGCGTATTTATTAGAAATTAAATAGACTCCACTTATCTGCTTGGTTTTCAACATTTGTAGTACTTTCGTAATTACTGTGCCCATAATTCTCAACTAGTTAATTTTAATTAAATTTTTATTACCGGTACAGATCCATCGGAAGAACCAAGTAGTCAGTTCGTGAAATCGCAGAACTTAGCCGATCTTAGCAGTTCACTGAGACAGCAGAAGACGTCCAAGATAATAGAACCATTGCCAGGACCCTGCGCAGCGGAATGGAAGAAGAGGGCCGAGCAGGATTTCGGGATTAAGCAGAAGAGTAGCTCGTCGCATCGAGCGCTGAGAAACGTCCCCCTAGCCAACAATAAGTCGTTTCCAACGAGCAATAGTACCTCCAGGGTACACGAGTATCACAGGAGGACGTCGGCGGGTAAGAAGGAGAACGCGCAGGGTGCGGAGCACGTGGTGATGGACCGATACGGGCGACCGATGACCGTGCAGGCCGAGACCGTGAGAGTTCTGAATCAGTTGCCGGACCTGTCGTTCCTGAACGCGCGAACTCTGCTGTTCAATCGCGAGCAGCGGCAGATCGTGCCGGATCTGGGCGCCGTGATAAATCGGAAGATGCCCGGCTGAGTAACATCGGTCTGAATGCGAGTTTGAAAGGGCAAAACGCGAGTGGAAACTTCCCAGGGAACCTGCTGTTGCGAAAGCTGGATGTTTCTGATGTGACCCATACAATCAAAAAAAAAAAAAGAAAAAAAACGTACTTCTGCTACCTTTCAAACCTGTGTTCAGACCAACCTTCAATCCTCAACCTTGACTCTTCCACGACGTCCAGGAAAGGATACACGAGACGCCACGTACATACGGAAAGACACACACTGTCCTATATCAAATCTAATCTGCTTGCGGCACCGAGTAAATGCACTTCGTGACATTCCGTATCGTTGTTTTGTGATTTTTATATAATGCCACTAGTATTGTTACTGAATCCTTCAAAGTCTTTACTTTGTTGCGCAATTAATGCGGTTTGATGTTGTTTCGGAAATGCTGGCACGTAAGTTTATTTTGTTAACTAAACAGTTATGTGTAATCTTTATTGAAGATACGGCAGGCTTTACTGTCGTCTCGTTAATTATATAGATGTAAGAATTCACACACACACACACACACACACACACACTCACACATATTCGGCCATATTCTAGTCTACAGTTCTTAATCGATAAGTTTTGTGTATTATAACGTTAGAAGAGATTCGTTATAACATTAGAAGATGTATATTTTCGACGGCAATTGTTGAGCAGCAGCCAGAGTATTACGTATACTCGTTTGTATCGTATTTCAGAAATTTACCTACTAACATTCTGGAACTACTTTTAGACGAGAGCAAACCTGAATATATTTCACCTTATACAAGAGACCGCGGCTACTTTGTACGACGTTCATGTGTTGCAATTTCCAGCAATCATAAATATTCCCAGTCATATAGAAGGAACACACAACACACTCTTAACTACCCAGAATTAAAAAGAAAACTATGTACTAATTGTAAGTCAATTATCGTAGATTGACGAGATTGATATCTGTAATGAAATCGTCGAGTGATACGTTTATCAAATTCGCTTGATGCTTTTATTGCACATTTTGAATTTCTACTGTGAAACGTGATGTACTTAATTGTGTAAATCTCGGCATTTGCATATGGATTATTAGAGCGAAAAAAAACGATAAATACTATTATCATTATCCGTTATTTATTAATGATAATATTGTAATATATATTTTATGTAAAATATTGTGGATAACATTAACACATAGGCAATCTTTGATGATCGAATCGTTGTTACTTTTCTTAGCCACTTCTACGAAATCGACGTGCGATTTTTCCTATCCTCGATCTTTTTTCCGATCCTTGAACGCAATCTTTTGCAATAGCCAGGATAACTTTATTGAAGATGCAAGGCAATTCAGTGTGTCATGCAATTGTTTTAATTGTATTATAAATATAGAAGAATTCACAAAGCACACTGATTAAAAATGGAAGCTCCATAATTTTTTCTTCATCAAAATACTTTTATTCAGCATATGTACTCATTTTATATTCTATTCATGTTTTATAAAATTCGTCAAAATATATAAATATATTTCATTGTATCAAATAGAAACAGTTACAATGTTCACAATTACATATACAATTAAGATATATAATTGCTTTCGTACACTAAAAATATAATTGAATTTCATTTTAATATATTATTAATATATTTTGCATATGATATATTTTTCTAATGTAAGATAATTTCTAGTAAAGTATTAGACTAGAACATTCATTTAAATATATATATATATATAATTTGTACAAATATAATTTATCTAATATATTAAATCTAATATATGCACTAAAATTTTTTTATAAGAAAATTCGATAATTGTGTTAAACTGTGTCAAAATTGCATTTAATATTTTAAATGTAAGAAAAAGAAGGCAATATATATTACTTTTGTTATTAGGAAAACATATCCTCCTCGGATTCATCCGAGTTGTAGAGATTAAGAGTCTGCTTAGATGTCATTGCTTTGTTATCATGCTTGTCTGTGTTTAGTAACGTTAAATTGCCTTTGCTTGTCGAAGGTTCAGGTTCAGGACTTGTATCTTCGCTAGAACTCATGCGTCTCTTAAGATTTCTCTTACTACTCTTTGGCATGACTTTCCGCTCGCTCTCGTAATCCATCTCGTGTTCGCTTAGCTTAGACGATTTAGCATCCTGTGCTCTCTTACTCTCTACGTCCGATTTCTCGCTTTCGTCATCGGTAGTTTTATCGTATACCGACTTTGTCTTTTTGGCATCGTTTAAAGCCCGCTGAAGCTCCCTAATCTTGCTCTTCTTTGTATTCAGAAGCAAAAGGAATTTCATGTAAAGATCCTTCTCCATGGCGATCTTCACGTTTATCATCTCTTCCATGTCCGCGGTCAGCTTTGTATTCGCTTTATTCAGGTGCTCGTTCTCGTTCTCCAGTGCCAGCGCTCGCTCCTGGCACTTCTGATAGAGCTCCAACGACTGCTTCAACGTGTCAGACAGAGTTAGTATATTCGAAAGGGAGTACACCGCAATTTCGCCACGGGTGAGAATATTCTGTTGCTTCCACGTGAACGTGTCGTCCTGCAGGAAGAACCGTATATCGGCGTTTTTGCCGGAGAACGCGTGTTTGGTTTTCTCCAGATACGTCTCGAAGGATTCGTCCAAGTGCTTTAAAAAGTAGTTGGCGTTCTCTACGTGCATCTGAAATGTTTAGATAACTGTCACCTTTAAAACGTCACAAATTATTTCTAATGTTGCCGACGTATGTCTGTTACAATTAAGGACTAATTTAATCAATGTAAATATATTTTACAGGGACTAGAGTGGAGGAATTTCTGTACAGAATCCAATACAAGTATCAGCTGACGTATGGTATGTAAAAAAAGTATATAGCACGCTTGCTTGACAATAGTTGTCAATAGTTTTGCTGGAATTTTTTAATGAATGAATAAGATTGTTTATATTTTTTATAATTTTGTCTTACATAAATAAGTGTATGGTAAATAAATATTCATTCGTTATTCACCTCGCCACTCAACGGTACCGTACCCGCCCGCAACACCATTATCTTGATGCACGTGTCCTCCCATTCTGTGTACAGCGTAAAATCGCTCTTGTCTACTTCATTCACGAGCTGACTTACGCTCACGTTAATCATGGTGTTTCTCGATAATCCAGAAAAGGTGCGAGGCAAGCGAGAAAAGTCACGAGAGACATTTGATCATTTGATGTGATAATCATCTGATCTTGTCAACTTATCGGGTTAAGAAAAAAAAAGCTCTCGTCGGAAGAAAATACATTGTGTGGCGTACAAAGAAGGAATTCTGTCGATCAGCTTCGACAAGGGTTTAGGTTTGTACTTTAATGATTCATAAGTACGATTAAAAATTGACAGTGTGCGCATTATAGGTTAGCGCCGCGATACATCATACACTGTTTGCTTGCGGCTAATCTGTGATACACTGCGCGTATCGCGCAGATCAGATAAGAAATCAGATAAGAAAAAAATAGACATTGCGCAATGTACGCATGCGCATGAACATTGGCAGTGTAAACAAATTTTTTTTAATTTAAAAATTTTTCAAAATTCAAGAAAAGATACGTGGTGACACTTAAAAAATAAAATTTTAGGTTATATTGTGCTCGATTACAATTCTGTGATTTTTCTTAACCACAACAATATTTCTCATCAAAAACGGCATGATTTCAAAAGATGAAATCGTCAAAGGACGTAAAATTAATCGTTTTTCACCAGTGGAGTGTTTCAGAACGCGAAAAATAAGTAAATTCAACAAGAGACGAGAGAATGTTTTTAAAGCCACTTCACACTTGTATTCGTCATTTCCAGCGAATCAAATGAAAACTCATCAATCATCATGATTGCACAGCATTACGTCAATCACGGTTACATCATAGTGGAAAGATATATATACTTAGTTGATAACGTTCTTGTGCGCAGTGCGAGAACAGACCTTCAAAACGTAAGTTGTTTCTATGTTGCTAATATACGTTACAATTTAAGGACTAATTTAATCAAACTAAATATATTTTACAGGGCAGACCAGAGTGGAGGAGTCTGTACAGAAATCCAACACAAGTATCAGCTGATGTATGTTATATAAAAAAAATATATAGCATGCTTGCTTGACAACAGGTGAGAGTTAGGGCTTATTACAGTCACATTACCAGGAGTTTGATTTTATAAAACATTTTATGAGAAATCTTATATATATATATTTTATTAATTGTAATTACATGATTTGCAGGTTATATTTTGTTGAAATTTTTGGAAACTCTCAAGTTAAAGTTGCGGAATCGTGAAGAAAATCCACACTTGAGGATTATATGTTAATCTGACTTGCACGCAATCGTCCAATATATATCCAGAATATATAAAATAGTACAGTCAAAACAATGGAAAGCGTACATCCATTGCACGAAGCACTGGAACCGCTGGCCTGGCTAAAGGGAACGTGGAGAACGGAGAATCTGGGCCACGGCAAATACCCGACGGTGAAAGACTTTAGCTATTACGACGAGCTGAGCTTCGCGTCTGTCGGGCAACCCATGTTCAATTTTACCGCGCAGAGCTTTTCCTCGGATTTGAAGAAGCCGATGCATCGGGAAACGGGCTTCCTGAGAGTGACCCCGGGAACTAATCAACTAACCTTTATCGTGGCACATATGCCGTTTGGTATGGCATCCATCGAGTATGGCGAGATAACCGACAAGAGTATCAATTTGAACGGCACTGTAATTAGTGAAAAAGAGGCAACGTGGCCCCGTATAACACAGGTACATTAGCAAGTTAACACTACCTCGTTGCAATTGATGTTGTGTAATTGAGCTTAATTGCGCAATTAGAATACATTTTTTTTATCCTCACGCCAGATACGCAGGGAATTTACACTCCACGATAATTGTCTGGAGTATGTGTTTTACATGGCGACGTCGAAAACCCCAGAGCTGACCGAACATTTACGGGGAAAGTACGTGAAAGTGAGCGAGGAGGCATAAAGGGAACGTGAAATGCGTATTAAGTGATTGGATTTTACTACAGGTATACGTTTACGATTTTACTGTTACTTCATTTTTTGTTATTAAATATTGTAATTTTGTAAGCGCCATGCGTGAATAAAATTTAGAGGGGTACGCAGAATCGAATATTTATTATTTGATGATTAATCGTGATTACATGAGCATTCGTGCTCGCGTGCACGACGAAATCTATTATCTATCGCTATATCGCTCATCGCAGATTCTGTTGAACAGTCGTTTAAAATTGCTCACCGCTGGTTACGTAATAATTCAGGATCTATTCTTTGCTACTGCGTAATGTTATGTTTTCTGCGCTTTGAAAAATATATATAGATAGTGAAGCATGTAGGGCAGAGAAGGAGGAAAGATGAGAATTTACAAGCGCTGAAAAGAATAGACCAAATAATAATACACGTGGTTTCTCGATTGGCGATTACGATTTCCGTTGTAAGATAAACATCAAGTTGTTCGGTAATGTTACGTGGCTTCCTATATAATAAATGAGACGATGCGAAGATATAAAATACCGGGAAATCTCGCGCTGCGATCTCAGTACAGAGTGAGGCCTGCTGCAGCTGTGGACGTGTAGACACGTAAATCCAATCGGAAGCCTTTTATCAAACTGATTAGGATTGCTATAGCTGTACAACAGCCGCGAAGATGCATATGAATGTCCTGCCGCTGCACCAGCTGATGCAGGTGCTGGCCTGGCTGGAGGGTACGTGGATAACGGAGGAGCCCGCGACGGGCATGTACCCGACCATCAAGAACTTCAACTACTACGACGAGATAAACATCACGTCCACGGGTCAGCCGCTGTTCAACTACATCGCGCAGAGCTGGGATCCGGAGACGGGGACGCCGATGCATCGGGAGACCGGCTTCCTGCAGATCTTACCGGGAACGAAGAAGGTCGTCCTCAGTCTGATTGACAACATAGGACTGTTCACGGTCGAGCAGGGCGATCTGGCGGACGACGACAGCGGTGTCGTCACCGTGACGAGCACCAATATACTGACGACAGACGCGTCGGTACCGTCCTTTCCGAAAGTGACCGAGGTACGATCACACTTTCTCCGTAAATCTCGCACGTTAATAATTATTATGTTAAACTGTACAATTCGGGTTCAGTAATGTATAATTATTTTTTCTCTTCTACGACAGACGCGTCGGGAGTACAAACGCGACGGCGACAACTTGGAGCTCGTTATGTACATGGCGACGACGAAGACACCCGATCTGACGGAACATTTGCGTGCGAAGTATAAAAAGGTGGCATAGAGATCCGCGAAGGATATTAGACACATGTGTATGTGTGTATGTATATACGAGAACGACACAGAAAGTAGGGAAGGATCTCTGAATCTACGAATTATTATTCTTCATCTTTTTTGTAACTTTTTAAGTAGGAAACAAGAGCAATATATTCTCGAGAAACATAAATGTATTTTTTGATGTAGCTCATAATAAATAGCAGCATAGACATAATTTATTAACGCAGCGTGCGCGGCGTATACGGTTCGTTACACACACAGTTATACGCCTTCTCTTATTTCGCTTTTATCAAGGGTGAGTCGACCAACCGGTTGGAGGTCGGGGCATGCGATATCTAGGAGAAAATTTGCGACTGACACGCGACGTGACCGCATAGAGAACTGCGCCACAGATTGCATCTTTAAGCGTTTCCTTTCACGCCCGATCGATGGAATTTAGTTATATTTCGTCGCTAACTACCGCATTGTGACTTTTATCGATTGCGATACTTCGGCATTGCGATTGACGTCGGAGTTACGCCGGGGTATCAAAAATTTCCACTTGGCCCTTACCATTTATCTTTCAATCGCATAATTTTGTCTTTGTAAAATGGAATTGAGATAAGGAATCGAGAAATGGAAATGTTAGTATTTCTACTTTAGTGCTCTATTTTTTACAGTAAAAATTTGTTTATATATTTATCAAATCCAATTTAATCACATATAATAGATTTCTGTCTAACTTATGTTAGACTATGGAGAACAGTATTAAGAACGGCGGAGGAATCGAACTCTGATCCGATAAAAATTCCTGCATTAAAATTTAATCCTGAATTAAAATAAACGTTAAAACGTGTTTACTTTCTTTAAACAAAACAGGTATTAAAAATTAAAAGCCGGAAACTTTATTTTTTAAAAGGTGTTCGTAAAAAAAAAGATATTAATAATTGAACTTTTTTTCAGAGGTATATTCATTTGAACTTATACACAATCATTTCATTTCTTTAATTATATCGTTGTTTCGAAGAGATTCGAATTTAATTTTACAGTATAAAAAATCGTCATTGTCGCAGATCTGAAATGATAATCATACGGGTCGTGCACGTGGCGAAAACGCGGGCCCGCGCGTTTCGTAACATCGTAAAATTCAAGTTAAACGGCCGCTGCTTAGTCGCACGAATTCGCTCGGCGTACAGGGGGTAGGGAACGTAACACCTGCGTGTTTACCCGCTGAAACAGCCCCGACCTGCCACGGCGGACTCGACGATTCGACCGCGACAGTTGCTCGCCGCGTCGGCATGACGAAGGATCGTTTCCTCGCCCTTAGGACATCAAATACCGAATACGTCGCGCACGCCGAGAGTGTTCGTTACATCGTTATTACGTCGGCACCGTCGTACTCGCGCGCGAATAATTCAGGGTGATTCCGAGTATCGTGACACGACACTCATGAATTCTCGCTCTAGTAATTCAATCTCCGTTTAATTCAAGCTTATTCGACCATTTTTGAATTCAAGAGTATGCGTCGTATTTAAATCATCATGTTTTGAATCTTTAATTCTATCTCTTTCTTTAATCCCTCTCTTGCTTCTTATTCTTGCAGTTTTCCTTCGTTTTCAAACATGCCTTCAATTTTCCTCAAATAACGTCCGCTTTTACGATTTAAACGCTCCACGTTCTCCAACAGCTTTCATTCGTTTTTAATATCTCTTCGTATAATCTTTCCCTTTAAGGACTTTTGCTTCTTCATTTTTATCAAAACTTTCTATGCCTTGTATTTCTTTTATCCTGTCTTCCGTTTTACGAAGTTCGTATTTTTTCCGTGGAAATTTCCGATTCAGGGGATTGATAGAATAATCATGGGAAACTGAAGGGAATAAAAACCTTCCGGAATAAAAACATTTCCAGTGCGATTTGCATTACTCTTTTTACATTTTTTTTTAGAGATGTTTAAAAATTCGAATCACGATTATCGACGCCACAAGATTCTCTCGTCCTTCGAATCGCACCGTGCGCGAACCTGAACTTCCGTCGCGCGGAGCATTTAAATCGATTTGCGCGTCGATCATCTCGATGCGCACGATTGTCCTTCGACTTTCCGACCTCTGAACGGCGCGCGGCATGGCACCGCTTTACGATGGCCACGACTACTACAAGAGGATGTTCGAGCTTCAGGAGAAGCTGCGGAAGAGGCAAGTACACCACTTCTCCCGGAGGGGAGACAATCGCGCGACTATCGCGGGTACACGCAATTATCGATAACGTCGCGAATTTTTCAGCGAGGAAGACAGAATACGACTGGAGGAGCGATTCAACGTGCTCATGCGAGATTCTCGTAATAGGTGAGTGAGTTTCCAGTCGTTCGGAATCCGAAAACTTTGAATTCTCGCGGTGACCGATGTCGCGCGTTGGCAGATTGAATTTGGAATAAGAGATCAATCAGTAGGTCAATGTGACACTATCAAATTATAGTGAAGTTATAATGAACCGTAGTGAAGTTCGTTGCATATCTAGAAAATTAACGGTAAGTAATTACAAATCCCTTTGGTTTAGACTTATAATTTATTTATATTTTAATGTACTATTTTAATTTATAACTGAATGCAATCTAATTATTACATATTTATTATTATTATTAGCGTACTAATTTGTTATTATAGTTAAGGATTAGAAGATGATAAAAATGAGTAGGAGATAACTAAATTTTCTTTATATTTATTATTATTAGTGCACCATTTTGTTATTAATTAAGGATTAGAAAAATGAGGAACAGACAATTAAAATTTTGTCAAATCAACTTTTATTTTCAAAGGATAGCAGAGAATTGCTTTTAGATATTTCAGTCAATTAAAAAATTTGCAATCAGCAAACCTATTTCATCTGGAAGCTATATTTTTCGAAGTACTAAATAAATCTCTCAAATTGAAAATGTGAACATCAGAATCGATCGTTCTAGCGTTTCGCAGCAACGATGTAGTCGATGTAGAAATTACCTGAAATACTCGATATCGATCCACTTCTACGGCCCGCTTTTGCGGAATGTCACGATCAATAACGGCCGCGAGAGCGCAATCCCATTCCTGTCGACATATCTCCGCGGTCGGGGCGACATGAATTCCGCTCTCTCGTTGTTTACGCGTCCCGATTCGTGTCTGGCCGAGACATCCGAGCGTTTCATCGATCGCGCGAGCACCGGATAAAAATGTACCGCGATGTTTCATGCTGCACGATAGTGTGCGTCTTCGTTTTTAAAAGCGTTGCGTTAGCTGTACACTGTTACGGAGACCGCGGTGACCTTACGCCACCGAGGCCGCGAAAAGTGACTTGCCCGATCGTGAGGGAGTCGTATTAAGTCCTTAATCGATCGCTCAACCCTTGCAGGGTATGCGTATTTCTATGTACATACTGTAATTTTTGAAAAAAAAAGATGAATATATCTAAAGTATTTAATGTAAGGCATAATCTTATTTTGTTAGTTTTTTTTTATTGCAATTTATACAATATTCTAGTGCTCGTAGAATTAATAGTGTTATAAAAATAGATGAGAGGAAAATGTTGGTAAAGCCGTCGTAAGCGAGATTTTCTTAGAGCTTAAACTTGCCACTCGACGGTAGCTCGATGATTTTTTTTATTGCAGACACGATGTCTGCATAAACCGGTTGCGCATGAGGTATATACAATATCTGGAGGAGCAACGCACGAGGGATGAAAGAAATCACAAGCTTCTCGCAGCGTTGGACAGAGTTATGAACAAGCTCGCGCTGATAGGCGCGAAAAAAGACAGACTTAATGTTCTCAGAGTGAGTGTCCGTCATTTTCGTCGGGGAATTTTTGATTATTTTGTAAAGAAATTGTTTTATGGTGCTCGTTATTATTTTTTCGTTTAATATAACAATATCATATTCATTATACTGCCATAAAATAATAAATTTTTGAAAAATAAAAAGAGTTATATTTTCATCCCTTTTTTTATATTTATTAATTGATATAGACTGCAATCAACTTTTATTATTTTAAAAGTTCAAAAAGCGCTCTTTTTATGATTCATTCATATTTATGAGATTAGATCAATCTCCCTCTTTTCATCTTTAAAATAATGTGAAGAAAAATTGAAAATAAAAAGAAAAACTAATTTTCTCGATTACCATATTTATGATGAATTTCAATTGTGTAAAACAATTGTATTAAAAATATAATTTAACTCTTATTGTTAGATATACATATAATCTGCATATATCACGCTATATTATACTTGCCCTTTTATAGTCATACGATATAGAAATATAGCTACACGTATAAATTCAAGCAAATGACTCTATTATTCTACTTAATTGTAAGTCGTTTTACCTAATAAACGAGAATGTTGGCTTCTTTCCAGAAACAGTACGAGACTTATCTGCTTCGCGCTTATGCCAATCACCGGCCACCCGGTAGCGTCACCGGGGACAGTGGCATCGCGAGTCAGAACGAGGACAAATACACGAAGAAAACCATCGTGATGGCACATCCCGATTTAGCGTCCGCGGAAACGAGAAGCGTTTCGTCACCGCGAGCGCATCCGGGGGCGCCTGATCCTCCGCAGTCGAGTCAGCCAAGGCCCATCTCCGCGTCCAAGTTCCACGACCGAGTCGCCGTCAATGCCTCGTTAAATAATTCGATCTTGACGGCTGCGCCATTAGGCGCAACCCTCGACGTCGATCATCGTCAGACGAGTGTTCCGCACGGTGGACCGCACATTTATGCCCATCAATATCCGCGGATGGTACCGTCCAATTACGACGAAAGCGCGCCTCGCAATCTCCAACATGTCCCGGACATTCGTGTTTCGTACGCGGAACCGCCGGTTTTGTCAATGGACAATATGCAGCCCCATGCTGTTCCCGCCAATCGATTCTTCAGGGAGCACGTGGAACCGGCGCAGGTCGCGTCCGGCTCCGCGGCGACCGCGCGATTTCCCGCTGGAGACACCTCTCCGCGATATGTCGGAGAGACGTCGCGGAGCGTGCCTACTCCACGCCAATTCGACCCCTCGACCTTACTCCGGTATCACGACGCCAATGTACTGCTGGCCGATCCGCGATCGCGGATAAGAGAGTACGATCCGTCCGCGACCGTGGGACCGACTTTGCGGGTGACCGGGAAATCGAGTACGTACCGGACGGGACCCGACACGAACGTCGCCAATCAGATCGATCCGCTGCCGGGATACATGGACTATATCCTGGCGAATTCGCATCAGAAGTCCGACGACGAGGGATCCATTCGTTCCATCGCGAGCGACGATCTGGACAGTCTGATAAGGCGCAACGAGCGTTTGCTGTGGGCCAACGCGGACGCGGCCGTCAAGACTCCGCACCGATCGCCGACCGCTTTGGGAATCGACAACGCTAATCTTATAGACGACAGGACGGCGTTACTCGAGAACGAACTGGATCGGTATATCAGCAATATCCGGAAGATCCATCGGCAGCACGGCATACAGAGCTTGGATGAGGCGGACCACGAGCAGAACACTAGCGGCGATCTGTTGAACGTCTCCCTGTCGGAGGACGCTGTGGAGCTTCCGGCCGAGGACCGCGGGGCGAGGAAGGAGCGGGTGCCCGAGGAAATGGGCAAGATCCTGGCACTGGCCAGCGATCTCGCGTCCAGGACGGCGAATCTGAAGGAGGTCGCGCGAGATTCGGCCGGGCAAGACGATGGCACGCCCACGGAAGTCGACGGCGACGGAATTAGACGTGATCGCGAGATTGCAAAAAGCGACGCGTTGGAATTTAAAGGGAAACGCCAGGCTGAAGGACGCGCGGGGAACGAAATTAGAGAAGACGTTGCGACACACTCGGCGGAATTAGATCGGCCGCGCGGAGACACGCGGATTGCGAAAGAGAGCTGGAATAACGCGGCCGATTCAGCCGAGTCGCGAGCGCGCGATCGGGAAATATTTACTATAAAGAAAGATGATGCGAACGTGGGAAAGGCAACGCGAATGGACGAGCCGAAAAATGCACCGGATGAGAAAGGAGTCGATCTTGTAACGAGTAAAGAATCGAATATCGACGGTCAGATCGACGCCGTCGAGGAACTGGCGCCGTGGGACCTTGCGAGTGTGCAGAAAAAAGTTTGCGAGCTACACTTGGACGAGCCTGACGAAGATCGAGCGGCGGGAAAGAATGCCGAGGACACGATGGACGAAGTCAGAAAGGAAATCGCGAGCGAATCGCCACGATTCGTCGAGCAAAGCGGCACGGACGGTGAAGTGGAGAACGCGCGTTCTCCGCCGGACACGCTCCCTCGCTCGGACGTGGAAACGAAAAGATCGGATGCGAGCGAGGCGAGCGAGACCGAGAGGGAGAAGGAAACACGTGAACCTGTCGAGGACGCTCAAAACGTACCCTCTAGAGTTTCGAGTCAACATTCAGTCGACGAACCTAAAGTCGCGTCGCAGCCCGACGAGGAACTTGGCGAAGGTGACAGACAGGAATTGGATAGCAAGGATGAGACGACGGAGCAGCAGCTTCGAGTCGACGATCAATTCGAAGGCGTGGTGAAAGACGGTGAGTACGGCGTCGAGCAAGGATACGTCGAGGATCCGAGCCAAGCGCAGCAGTACGAGCGGCAAGATCAGCAGTACTACGACCCGAACATGCCGTACGAGGCAGCTGGTAACGAGGAGTACGAGAGATACGCCGATCAAGGATACGCTCAGGCGGGTCAGGAGTACGTCGAGTACGTGGACGGCCAGTACGGGCAGTACCCCGAGGAGAGCCAGCAGTACCAACACTATCCCGAGCAGTACGAGCAGGATCCGAATCAGGCGTACGATTACGGCTACGATCCGAATCAGGGATACGGCGACCCCGGCCAGCAGTACGACCCCGATCAACAACAAGGATACGAGAACAATCCTGACAATCAGGCGTACGATTACGCCGAGCAGGTACCCTACGATCCTAATCAGACGTACGACAGCGCGTACGGGCAGGAGTACAAGGAGGAGCAGCGCGGTCCCGACGACGAGGAACGATCTCGCGCGGCGGAACCGACGGAGACGCGGGATGAGGTGGAGCAGAGACAAGTGGACCCGGACTCGGAGCACAAATCGGAGAACATCGGGGATGAGGATAAGTCGCAACGGGCGGACGTTAACGGGGCGAATCAGTCGAAGAAGAAGAAGGACGTGATCAAGTCCCTGCTGGATTCCGACACGGACACGACGATCGAGAGGAATGTTTCGAACACGGAGAGTGATTTCGATTTCAATTAATTAGATACACGCGACGCATTCGGGTGAACGTCGAATTCGTTATTTCAATGAAGAAAAATTGCGACGACGCGATCTCGCTAACGAGATAAACGAGATCTCGCGTCCTCCGATGTCGACGTGAAATGCCGACGTGAATATAACCGGCGGTGAAAAGATGCGGGTAAGAACAATGATTCTGATTTCGATTGAATGGCGCGACGAGGGGAAGAAGACGCGCTGTTTAGGTAGGTATGTATACAGGTGCAAGATAAACTAGCGAACGTCAGCGAGATGTGATCCGAGGACGGGCGCGAATCTTGAGTGAATTTCCAAAAAAAAAAAAAAAAAAAAAACGAACTTCAGTTCATCTCGCGAGAGATATGCCTGGGATATGGACAGTGAATTTAATTTTAATTACAGTTGCAATTAGAGCCTACGAGTTGTAGCGTATATATACGGCGAGAATAATTAGTTTCGTTGGAATCCCGCTTGCTACCGTAAATATCATATTTACATATGTAGCCGTAGAATAAAATGGTGAGACAAGATGCGAATGAAAATGTACGTTATTTCGTGGACGTTTATCCCATATTCTCGAATAATTTGCGACGTAAATTAACGGTATATCTGTAAATGCGTGTTTATGCAATCGCGAAGAGATTCATTGTTATAAAAAAAAACAAGCTTGAGATATTATACAAATTGATTATTATTAAAAGTAATTATTAAGATAATGCAGTCAAAGAAAAGATTAATTATTTTGAGAAAGTTTATCCACCTCTGCAGATTTAAAGCAAAAATATGCCAACTTTGAAGTAAGAGGAAACTCCTAAGGCTAATTCTTACAGAAAAAAATGTTAAAAATCAGATTTTCTATTTCGTTTTCTCATTCAAAGTACATATTGCGCAATACATGCAATAAATTAGTAAACGACGAATATAGATTCATATTTAATTATAATTAATTCATGTATTATGACCAGATTATGCGTTACAAATTTATAATCACGATTATTATTAAAAGTAGTTGTTAAGAAAATGCAGGCAAAGAAAAGATTAATTATTTCAAAAAAGATTATTCACCTCTGCAGATTTAAAGAAAAAATATGCTAACTTTGAAGTAAAAGAAAATTCCAAGACTTCTTTCAGAAAAAAATGTTAAAAATCAGATTTTCTATTTTGTTTTCTCATTCAAATCATATTGCTCAATACGTGCAATAAATTAGTAAACGACGAATATATTTGTTCGACGAATAGATTCATATTTAATGATAATTGATTCATGTATTATGACCAGACATGCGTTATAAATTTATAATCGCGCAGGTGTATCGACAGATTCATTTTCTCGTCTAACAATCTCGTTCTTTCGTACAAAATTTCAAGAGCCGAGTTTATGAGTTTGAGAAACTGATCATTAAGTAACGTCGCTCATTAGCGGGTATAACGTGCACCACCCAAGCTTTTTTATAATCTACGCTCGCGTGCGTGCATGTAAATATTTTGTGCATACGCTACAAAACGCGAGAGACCCGCGTCGGTCCCTCGCGTCCCGTATAATTAGTGCAGCACGACGGCGCGGCGGCGGCGGCGGTGTGGCGGTCAGTCGCACCACGGTATGGATTTTCACGGGAACGACGCGAACGGGAACGAGTCTGCGCCAGCCGGAACGACTCGCGGTTCGCAGCTGTGTCGCGCCTCCTCGACCAATCACGCTCAGTGCCACGCGCGTCACACCACGGGTGCAGTGCCGTAGAAGCCGCCGGTGGAGAGAACGTTCGTTTCGTTTCGTCGCGAGTGTATACGAGAAAGGTAGGTGTACCTTTACGTCTTCCCCAAAGGTTGCGATTCCTCGCTCGCACCTCCGTTCTCTCTCCTTCCCTCGGAGTCGTCGTTACTGCGGAATCGCATTGCCTCGCGGAAGGAACGCGCGAACAGCGCTGTCATGGTCCTTCATCGTGGCATAATCGCGGATGAATTGGGTGAAAGGAACTGAGAGACAGAGAGAGATGGAGAGAGGGAGAGAGAGGGAGGATATATATATATGTATATGCATACACATACAAAAGAAATTAACGTAATAAATAATATATGGGTATGAAATTCGTGGAACTTTTCATCGCAAAGAGAAATTCTTATTTAGATTGCGTTTCATTGAATTTTTCATCTCTTAAAAAATAACATCAAAGTATATAAACATCAAAGGATCCGATTAAATCTCATTGTCAGAGTAAATGTCAAAGGAATTAAATTTAAAAGTCCACGTAGCTAAAAAGAACCATTTAAAAAAAGCACTTATCGAGATATCAGCTGTGACATATGTAAAAAAGTATTTATCGAAGATCAATTTTATTTTTGTTTACAAAAGGATCGGAGTTGCAGCTTTTGTATGCGCAGCATCATTCATGCTCTGATACGTAAATATCTGTACACGTCATAGCGTGGCATTTCCCATGTGTGCTCCGATAATGAGCGTCTAATTCACGTGCGGAGGCAGTATATTAATGACCCCCATGTGTACGTCACTTCGATATATCGCAGGCCGTGACTCGCGCGGCGTGCGTCAGACTACGCGGAGCACGACGATTATGGACGCGCAAAGCGTCAAAGCGTGTTTATACGCGCTCGGTACACCTGGAGCGTGCACCCGCGTGGGTGGCAGTCGCGTATAGCATTCGGAGTACTCGAGAGGAATCTCACGCGTATAAGCGTCGAACCGCCGGGCGAGCCGCGTCGAGTCCGCTCCAGTCCGTTCGGAGTATCCGCCTCGTATCGCGCCGAACGCGCGCGTGGCTGTGCGTGGCGTCCGCGAAGTGTCCGTGAACCTCGTTGAACGTCGCCGCGTTGTTCGCTTCGCCCCGTCGTCGCACGACCGCGCCGCCCCTCGACTCGAGGGCCTCGAGCAACACTTTATACTCTGTCGATCTCGTGCGGATCGAACGCGCTTCGCGGACGGCGCGCGTCGCGATTGGCTGGACGCGCGTGCCACGCCGCTTCGCCTCTCGTCGCGTATTGTAAGCGTATACATACTATATACGTACACGTCCGGCAGCGGCGATCCATCGCGCGCGGCGCGACGTTCCTCGTCCACCGGGCCAGGCGAAACGAACTGCGTGAACGTAAGTGAGAGAGACCCCGCGGGCCGCGATAAACTCGCGCCTTCGTGGCACGATGCAGTAGATACGATCGGCCGATAAAACGAGCACCAATTTCGCGTTTGCCGTAAGAAGGACTCTTTGCAGCGAGTCATTAGAATATCGTTTGATCGGCTGACACGACCCACACATGTGTGTTACCTTCTCCCGTAACAGCTGTCTCTATTAAGCAATGATCGAAGAGTTTGTGTGAGCGAGGAAAGAATGACGTGCACATTTATCGGTACTGGCCTATTTAAACTTATATTTCTTGACATTTAACACTGGCAACATAATATATTTTATTGCATGTATACGGAGAGGGAAGTAGTAAATATTTTCTCGCGTAATTTTTCTTTTGATATTTTAAAGGTCACGTAACAATACTCCGGAGCTATTAACTTTATATACTATATTAATTATATTACTATAATAATTATTTTATTATATTATTTATTAGCTACATGTATTAACTTTTGAAATATCATTATTTTTCTATATATTAAATAGTAAATAAAAGATTACAACTTTGGATGCATTAATAAAAAGGTGCATAAATATTTATACAAAAAGGATGCTGAGCATACATTCAAGTAAAAAAAATAATTTAAAGGTTAAGACAATTATTTCATTATTTTTTGTGAAAATTGCTGATGATTTTTAGATACTTTTACAGATTATAGAAACTGTAAGTACGATGCAAAAATTTGTTACGAATTAAACAAAAAATTATTAAATATAAATTTTTTCGAATTATGATTCGGCACCTAGAATAGAATATTTATCTGATGCATAAATTGATCGGGAGATCAATTGTGTGATGTACGTGCGCAGAAAAAAATACGTTAATCGTCATCGTTGTATACTAATGAATGCAAATTGCAACGTTCCAACTTCTTATGTTAATTAGTTAGGCATTGATTATTAAATCGCAAGCAGAATTCGTATGACAGGAAAATATTGCACGTCGCCGTTTTCAAAATGATTCGAGATTTCACGCTAACTGCAATAACGACGCGATTAATCCTTGTTTAAAGCGCGACTCTTAATTGACAGTTAAAGCAGGCTGTAACGTTTAAACTTGATAGATGTAATAAATTTGTTACATAAGAGATGCGCAGTAAAACTAATCGGAGTGCACCATTAATATCAACTTACGATTGCAATATATCTTGTTAATTTTGTTTTATTATTCTCGCATTAAATTAGTCGATGATTTGTTTTTTCGATCTTTTCCAAATAATTTTCTATTTTTAATCATTGTTGTGTATTCATACATTTTATTAATTGGACAGTCAAATGATAATTAAATTTTTTTTCAGAATTGGTATAAAGATTAATATCGCAGTGTGGTTTTATTTTCTTACAATTAGCTTTTCTTATCGTAAGATAAGAATTCTTATTCTCTCGCGGTCTCTTCGATAAGAAGAGATCCTTTGTTGCGGTCTATTAATAATATAAGGGGAGAAAAAGATTATAAGAGTGCAATATTACACTTCACCGTGTAAAAGACAATTAGTAGCGTACATTTTATTTATCATTATAATTAGTGATTTACATAGCATCTATTTAATTATACGATTAAATCAATAAAATCATATCAAAGAAAAATATTATCGAAATCAGAGAAAAGAAACATTTTTTTTAATAAAATGATATTTCTTTGAATTATTATATATATTGTAGCTGTATGTGTATGTATATTTTCTTGGAGAGATTGTACACGGAGAGAATTTTATTTAAAAATTTATCCTGAAAATATGTATTTTAAAAAATAGTGAAAATCACGTAAAATTCGTCGAAATACTATGTTGTCCCACGATTAACATGATTTTCAGGGTAAATTTTAAAATAAAATTCTCTTCGTGTGTACTTACTTTATACATTTCTCTTTTTCACGAAGCGCGCGGCCTTGTAAGCTGCGCGCTTCGAGAGCTTTATCGAAAAATCCGTGGCTGATAATGCGGCCACGTCAACGTCGCGGATAATTAAATAAAGCGAGCACTCAAGATGACGAACGCATTTGCAGAATTATGGAGGATGTGGTGGCCATGAACGGCGTGAAGGAGGTGAACGGTGACACAGACAGGATCTACTACGAGCTGGATGGCGAGGGCGACGCCGACAGCTCGACCACTCCGAGCCACAACGTGGATCACCGCGATCGTAAGTACCATCGGTTGTCATATTATGATGTAACTGGGTTCTGATCAATTAACCGTGCAAAGAGCGAGTCGGCTACAACATGCAATCATAATTACGGGGCAAGGTAATAAGAGCGATTTTAAAGTCACAAAGTTGTCAGAAAGTTATTCTTTAACAGACGTTTTGCATCAAAGTTAGTTTTTAGCATTTTCGAAGTGTATAGCTTAATTTAAAAGATACAGTCTTTAACGAGTATTTATTTGTCGCACCAAAGCTATCCTTTGACCTCCTAAAGTCGTACGGTTGTACGGAACTATTTTTTCAAGAATTATATTTATCCATCGAAAAAAATAGAATGCCTATTTCTTAACTCCTTGAATAATAATGACTCTAAAATCATAAGGATAAAATTACTACTCTCGGATCGTTTTGGAATTTCGTCCTCTGAGAGAGGATAAAATTAGACGCTGTATTTTTCCTGCGATTTCGCGCTTCAAATTGGCCGATCACCTTTTGATGCAATTATATCGCGAAACGAGATTTATATCGCGCGAAATTTATATCGTGGCGTTAGACGGTGCACATTATAGTAGCAACGAGTCGCACACAGCTGCAACGTTTTATTTGACCGCACGAAAGGCGAAGTTAATTAAAGTTCGCGAGAGGGATGGAGATCGATATGAATTATACGCGGCAGCCGCGCGAAAGGAAGACGAATGCCGGAGATTTTCCATTGTCAGAACTCGCCGTGATGCTAGGTACGGAAATTGTTAGCCTGAAAAATAGAAAATAAATAATCGAAAAAAGCCAGGAAAAAATTTCGATTTTTTTTCTACAAATATAGCTTCGTAACCGTGAACAAATATCGAAGAAAATTAACGAAACTGCGAAAATCAGAAATTTTTTACAGATCTGTAGAAAGAGAGATGAATTGAAATTATTTTCCGATGCTTCAATATTATATCTCTAAATATTGTATCTAAAAATTTATTATTATATAACTTATAACAACTTCAAGCACGCTTTACGTGGCTTGTCAAATTCGGATTTTAATTATCTGATCAATCATTTGAGTGGATTATTCGCGTAATGAGGCTCGTGTTTTTTTATGTGTCGAATTATCTGGAGTATCGAGGTGTCTCTGTTTTAACCGCGGTTCTCGTTGATTAACACAAAATCATGTTGATGTACGCGAGCGAAGATTTTGGAAATTGGCAGGCAGCCTAAGACCTTCTCTCTACAGGCGGCCGATAGTATTTTGGCCGCCGTCACAATGGTGCCGTCGGTGTTCGTCTCGTCTCGTCAGTGCGAAGCGAGACTTTCGGAACGTGAATAGAGGGCAAGAGTTGGGCCTCGCAGAAGTAAACCGCGATTCGGCCGTCACGGTAGTTTCGCGGTGCCCCTCGTTCGAGTTGCGTTACAGACAGTCGTAAATCCCGAGATAAAGTGGCATTACGTGAAATTCTGAAAGTTTCTCGGAAAAACAATTCCCTGCGGTAATCGCACGACCGATTCAATGATCGACGTTGCATGGTGAATTTTTTGAAAGTGGCATGCGTGAAATTTGAAAAAAATTCCGCGAAAATAGCTCCGGTGGCGATTGCACAACCCGAGTCGAATTACGGCGATAATTGGTCGAAGCTCCGCTCGGTGAAAATCTTGTACATTTTCCAATTCTGATCTAATTCGATCTGTTAGATTGGGTAAGTCATAAATAACCTTCGACATAGATAATAATTAAATTTTTAATTTTTATTATTTTCTAATGTGTCTCAATTTAACATAAATGACATTGATTATGTAATCCTCTAAAAGATTCTAGAGATTAATTATTAGCAAAAGTTATTTATGAAAAAGAAGAAAAATTAGTTATCATTCAGAAAAAATTAGTTATGGCTTAATTTAATAATTTCTTTTAGCGAATCATCTTAATCAATTATCTTAATCATAATAGCGTAGCATTAAGAGACGACTTTTGCCAAATTTTTTATTAAACTACATTTTTGTTATATTTCGAAAATTGAAACTTTAGTTGAGTTATTTTCCAAGTAAATATTTATATATTGCTCCGCTTGCTCGTCAAATATTGGTAAACTAGCGTTCTCGTCGCGTTTCGTCGATTGTGATTCAGTTAGAAAATATATGCGAGTTCGCGATCACTGTTTGCCACTTCTGGAAGTTACACATTCGAAATTGTTTCGGCGTTTCTCACTGTTTCTCGTTTCGGCTTTGTGACCTTCGTACGTGGTGTTGTGATAAGCGTTGTTTAGCACGTCGTTTAGCGCGATGTCTTCGTAGCTAGAAATGCGCGCCGCGACGTTGTGGCATTAAAAGTCGCTTCGCCGGTATCGAAGTCGATCTCTATCTTCCGCAAAACGATTGCAGCGTATTTTTAAAGTCACAGAGACGCGATATCGCAAAAAAATTCATTGGCGCTCATCCTCTGGGGTATCTCTCAGGAATCGTTTATTATCAGGAGTGAGACGAGTTAATAAATTTTCTGTCGAAGTAAGAAATCGTCGGTAGTGCGATTTGCAACGCTGCATCGCGTGACTCGGGGGCGAGCTGAGAAAAATGTCGATCAGAGGTGTGACCACTTCGGAGAGCGAAACGTTCCTCGGTTCCTTGCGCCTGTCGAATTTTCTGATCGATCTGGATGAATTTTACGAAGGTAAAAAAGCGAGCGCAAGAGCTCGCGTATATATTCGTCTGTCGGATTGTGCTCTGTTTAACCGCTTGATGTTCGGGATCGATTTTAATTGGCAAAACGCCTTTATGTCGACGTCTATTTACCGCGAAACTGTCCCAGATAACGGCGTCGCGGAGGAATTACTTCAGTGTAACGTGTGTGAATAACAATGATGACGAGTCTGTAATTATCAGTGTTTCTTATCTTGTCAATAACACAACTAATAGCCGAGCCATTGTAATCCCACGTCCTCGTATAATTGCAAAATGTATTTATCAACAGATTATCGTGCGTAACCCGTAAGATATGTGCCTCTGTCTCAGAGAATCGCAAGTTTATACATCGTTTTTATGCCTTTCCGGAATTTTCCAATCGTGACTCATGTCACTTATCTTCCTAAAGCGTAACTTCTTAAAGCAAGTCTCTTCATTAAAGCTGCGAATTGTACAAGTTATTGTCAGTATGAGTAATTTGGAGATGTTATACTTTAATGGTTAAAGAAAACATTGCTCTGATAGTGTTTGAGCGATTATGTATTATTCCGTTCAAATTATCACGACAGAGATAATTTTTTACGACGAGATAATGCGTTTGAATGATGTATACATAATTCTTATGAGTTTCGAATTTCTAATACATTTATGGTCAAGGCCGAGATATAAGTCGTTTATCTGTATCTATTATGTAATTACATATAATGTGCCAGTTTTTGACAGTGAAATAGTTAATTATTTTACAACAAAATATCCGAAACTTTTATTTTTTTTCAAGTTCTGTATAAAGAGCATGAATTAATTAACAAGTTTTAATTAGTTTCGTTTTTACATGTTTTGACATTTTAGAATATTTTTCCAATTTCACCAGAATAAGCTCGCAATTCTGAAGTTTCATTTTCAACACAGTTCTCCGTCGGCGGAGAAAAAAGAACTACAACCGAGAATAAAAACAAACCGAAGATACACGATATTTTTCACTGATTTTTTCAAGAGATTGTCCGTTAAAAAAAAAAAGTAAAACCGTACAAATTACGAACTCGTCTCATTTCGAAACTTTTGATTCCGAAATTACTGCGATGAATTCTGGCGAGGGCGATCTTTCGGCGACATGGAGTGTTAACGAGACGTATCAATGAGTATCGAAAATACTGACGCCGGCTTATTTTCGTCTCGCGACGCGGTATATTTGTCGCGCAGAGAACCGGGTCCCATCGTGTCCCGCGAGACGAGGAACGGCAAGGTGTCGACGTTTCCCGATTGAGAAAAAAGATTGGGACGTGCTACGCGAAGATCCACCGTAACCGTGCCAAGGAGGTGCGGTATTGATCTTTTCCGCGGCTATGTCTACGCTGTGTGCCACTTGTCTTGATGCGCACTAGTCGCACCGCCGCCGTCGGCTAGCCGCCAGAAATTGAATCACGCAAATTTACGCGATTGCCGTACTTAAATAGACGTAGCGAATCGTGGCGTTCGATCGCGTTGTTCGACGCTTCGAGGAAATTTCCGCCGCCTGCTTAGAATCGGTTGCACCATATTGCCGTTATTAACTAACGTGTTGAATATTCATAGAAGCTACGATCATCAAAGAAAGCGAGAGCGAGAGAGAGAGAGAGAGAGAGAGAGAGAGATATTCACTTACGTTGCAATAATTAAATTTTTATTGTTATATATTGAATTTTGTTACATGGATAAACCACTAAATTTGCACGACTTATTTAATGCTACCACGTTAGTTTCGATCTTGACGTCGCGGAATCGTTCGCGATTGAGTCTTTCAATGAAGCTTTTAAAGCCCCATCTATTATTAGTTTGTGGTGTGTAACGCAAGCACTTGTTGTAGAGTCGACTGAGCACAGTTTCGTGATAAGATTGACCGATAATCATTATCATGTTGCATGCGATAGCAAATCTATGTTTCGATAGAATAATAAATCCTATTATCTACTTAATCCACTTTATTTTAACGTTGCAGTGTATTTTATAAGCATTTTACTTTATCAGCAGTCTCATAATGCAATACAAATACAATATCAAGATATCTGCGTAGAGATATATATATATATTTTTCTGTTTTTTATTTTTTATAAATACATTTTATATATATTAAAAATGCTTTAAATATAAATGTTAAATTAAATGTTTTATACATATTAAAAACGTTTTAACTATCTGTGAAGTAATTATTTCGTGTAATTTGCAAAGTAGATTTATATTATTCAAACGATAATTTCTCATAATCTGATGAGTAAACTGTTCAATTCTGAACTTAATTATTTATAGCTAACCTTTTTGAAGATAAAATAACAGACATATTCCATATAAATATTTAACGTCAAACATGACCGTCGATAAGACTGTCGATCATTTATCTGCTGTAAGACGGCCGAATGACTTATATCTAAAAATTTATGCAGTTCGTTTCGATTTTGATTTACACCCTGTAGAGAGTAAAGGTCTAGATTACCTGCATTTTGAAGGTCGCTTCTGCGCCAAAAGCGACCCCCGTTTCATTCAAAGTGCACAGCTGACTCGGGGCTTCATTCTGTATAGTAAATGTCAAGGTCAAAAGAGGCCAGCAAAGTGTTTGGAAATGATTACTAAATGGAACAGTATAGGTATAAAATAAAAATAAAAATAAACATGTACGACTGTAAGAAAATATAAATGTAGAGATGTAGTGAAATATGAATATCTTAAGTAACAATCGGACGTTCTCGTGTAACATAGACGATAAAAGAATCTAAATTAAATGACATTTTTTTTCAGTTAAACTTTTAAATAGACACGTTCTATAAATTATTCTCTCGGAAGTCAAACTGATTAACTCCACTTTTTATCAATTTCTTAATTTTAGCGCCAGAAACATATACGATTAGTTGAATTATGTGACTGCGATCGTAATTTCATTAATTCTTTCTACTCTAATTTATGAAGTTGATCGGTTGATTTGATCCCAAACGCTCGTGCAAATATCTCGTTCGCGAAATATGTATAACATTCTCGTGTTTCGTGGTACGGCTTGCATGATGTCGGTGACACCGATTGGAGCAAATTCCTCGCGCGGATCGTGACAGTAAACACCAATTAGTTCAGCTGCCGCGTGTTCGGCGCACGCGAAAACCGTTCGGCACGATAAGAACGGCCCCGTAATTAAATTAGCAAGTGTATCACACGTCGCTAAAGCAATCTACGAGTTTATCAGTTGACAAAAAAAAAACAAGAGATACATCGCAGGTGAAAAATGGTTAACGTTTATTTGGCGAGAAAATTGCGCTTGTTTTTCATCGCGTTTGCAACTTTTATGTTTACTCTACATTTAATTAATTTAACAGTTAATAATTTACTTTATTTTACATTTCAAAATACACATCATGGGATTCACTTGGGCAATACGAAGTTTTATTGCCTTTCGTATGACCACTGTTTTAAATGATGCAATACAAATTGACATAATATTGAAGTATCGACATTTTTATTGTATTATTACCTGAAATATTGATGAATGTTACTACGCGTGTTGTTTTTTTAAGTTATTTATTTGCGGTGACTAATCTCAGAGTTTTTCTGATTGCTTCTCTATTCTGTGAGCGCTTTTCAATTTTTAGAACTTTCTTCTTTGTCTAATGTTGAAGCGTTCGTTTAATAAAAAAGCAATCAGTCAATAGTTTGTTATTATGTTCTTTTAAATAATTGAAAAAAATTGAAGACTTATTCTTTTTATTGATTAATTCCTCTTACATGATGGGGCATAAAATATTAATTGCCAATCACAACACTTTATAACAATGTCAGATTTATGTTGGGAGTATCAAATACGAGACAAGGGGACAAATAAACTCGTACGCGCGGCAGGATATAAAGCATACCACCTACTTAACGCTGCTAGAGTTACAAAGGTGGTATATGTTTTTCAAACGCGGTCATCGCATTATTTATGATCTATACAAACTGTCAACAATGAACGGCCTTTCACACGTACCTATATATGTCCCTTGCTTTGAGCGTTCTATCGCTCGTGCGTAATCTGCCTCGGGACCGCGTACGTACGTGCAGTCACGCACGCACGTTACGATTTGTGTGTGTCGCGCCGTGATATGTGGGTCACCGCAGGAACTTAAGCACACGCCAATCGCGCGTGTGAGCGATGTATGCGCGAATGTAATATTCCCGCGCGAATGTAATATTATCGAAAATATTAACGCGCGTGTAAGGCACGATTCGCTCGTTGTCGCGCGTTGCGCGCGCGGTGTTTGTGCCAAGTCTCTCTGGTATGTTTTTCACGTTCGTGTGCAAGACATGAATAAAATCCGGATATTAATACATCGATAATATGGAAAAGTGGCGTGAATCCAGTTCCAAAAATTTCGCCCAATTTCATGGCCTTACGCCGCCACGTGCCTGTAATTTCAATCTAATTTTGTTGCCTTAAGTTTACTATCTTAAAAACATTTTAAAATCGTCCCAGTTTTGTTCAAAATATTTCCCCCAAAAAATTTCCATCGACAGATGGATATTTTTCGATGCCACGTCAAAATGTTAAATCCTGTAATGGATTCATGTCTATCGAATATCGTATTTTGTTCGTCCATGTATCGAATTTTCTTTCTGCTAAAATATAGTGACGCTTCTTCGTTCAAAATTCTTTAATCATTCATAATTACTGTTTTTGAGAAATAGTGCATCCCTCGCGTGTGTGAAGTTAGCATCCCAACATATAAAAATTCCATAGTTCTGATTAGAGTTTCCGTTTCATTTTGAAGAGACGAAGAGTTTCCTGTTGTTTATAACAATTAAAGTTCTACGTAATGACAATTTTTAATGTAAATTAAAAAAAATGGGGCGCTATAGGAGTTAGCACCCCAACATAAAAATTCCATAGTCCTGATTAGAGTTTCTGCTTTATTTTGATGAGACGAAGAAATTCCCTATAGTTTATAACAAGAGTTTTGCTTAATAACAATTTTTTAATTTAAATTTAAATAATGG